TTTCACATACACGAGCCTGGCCTACTGGTCTAAAGCAAACGGGAGTCTATTTCATTAAATTGGTGGGAAAAGGGAAAGATTGAATCGTGATTATATTTTTCTACCACAGGTGCTCGTGTACAAAGTACTCAACATAATCGCTTATCAGAGAAGGAAGCACTGCTGCAACCGAAAAATAAATGAGACGTAGGACACGCTCACATCTCATGGTTCAACAAACAGACATGAATAACGGTGTAACAGAATAAAACCCTTCAAGGATCTTCTCACAAAGAAGTTCTCCTCCTTGCCGGCTCATATTTCAAGGACAAGTCTCAAAGGCAGTACGAACTGCTCTCACTTGTGCAATAAAAACAACACTTGCTGTAGAATCAGGAAGTGTTGTCACAAGGAATTGAACGAACATCAAGCATTTCTTCAGTGTCGCCGAAAGCAAGGCCGGGCCCAGCTCAATGCTTGGAATCCTACCTAAAATGTATTTGATATGAACTTGAAATGCATAGAATTTTCTTTATGTACTTGAGATTTATATTCCTTAAGCCTTTTTTAAATTTTCTCAATGCAAATCACCGTGTCATAACTACAATTTGATTATCCTTACAAAATAGTTTTGCTGCACAATGAGCATATAGTATTCTAGAACAATCTTGTTTTACGTACTTTTGCAAAGTTCCATGACTGATTTATGGGAAAACCCTTCAAATTCCTTGGACCTCTTTGTGTTTTGCAACTGATTTTTGCAAAAAAAATCCTCAAAGGCCTGAGAACAAGTATCCTCGTCTAAAAATAGCTCAAGGAGTACTCGATAGTTGGGGGGGGGGCAGTATCCTATCTTTTTTAGCGATCAAGTCGTGTACTTGCAGCACGATTCTTGCTTTAATTGTGTTTTGAAACTGATATTTGGGGAAAAATCCTCAAAAGCCGTATTCCGACAAAGTTTCGTGCTTTTATCTTGTTTTGCAAGATTGTTTTATCAACATCACCGACAAAAGTTCCAATGGCTATCGAAGGGACGTGTCAAACCTATTACGTCACAGCGTCGATCTGACCGCGTTCGAGTGGCATCGCTTTTGAAGGTCACTTTTTCGGGCTTTCGAGCGCCATATCTAGACAAGCTCAAGTCATAGAAAGAAACGGGAAACGGCATCTTGACAAGCGAAAAAAGCTCTACCAAATACGTGAAAATCGTTTTTCGGTTCATATGACCTTTAACTTTAAATTCTTTATGTAGATGTATATCTGCAAATCAAAGACGAGTAAAATGTATCGAAAGACTGTAGACATGTACTTACGACAGACTCCCCAAGACGATGATGGAGGCCAGATTCCGGATATTGGAGAAACCCCAACAGGAAACGTTATCGTTATTCCTAAGACAAAATCAAACCAGTTTTGTATATTTCAGTATTGAAATTTTGAATTTCAAGAAAGAGCTTCCCTCCTCTAGTCAATAAGCGAAAAACCTGCCACCGTCTATTTGAATAAACATTGACAACTAGGTTTGAGCATTGCATTTCAAACTTTTGTCTTCTAACCATGCAACTGATACTTGATCTAGACCCCTCCTAAACTAAAAAGATGTATTCTTTTTTTTCTTATTTCTTAAAAAAACCTTATTTGCATGTTGCTTTATCAAAGGAGGCTAATCATTTTTTCGTAAATATCAAATGAATGACATAACAAGCAAGGCGAAAATGTAAGCGAGTGGCACGACCAGGGAGGGACTCGACCTTGCGACCAGCGACTCTGTACTTCGTTGTTCTACCAGCTGAGCTACAATCTCTGCCAAAACTCCTTGGAACACCTACATCTTTTGCTAAATTTTTGCTTTTTTCGTATATTTCCCGTGTTCCTAATAGACTAACCCCCCTTTCCCCTTATTCCTTGTCAAGAAGAAGTTTCCGTTGAGAACTCTTTAGAAATCGTGAAATTCAAAACAAGCTTATTTAAAGCCGTTGTTTTGACTTACCTTGGCTTGTTGCTATAAAAGCAACTAGGAGTAAGGAAAGGATTGCTTTCGTCATCTTGATTTTACCTTTGAAATGAAGCAAGAAATATAATAATTAGAAAGCATTTGATGCTGTTTGGCAAGAACTGTAATGCAGAATATCGATCTATAGGCTTCCACATGGACACCATAAATTGACTTCCAGATGAACACCGCAAACATCTAGTCTCCATTTATGCTCTTTCCATTGCTGCAGCAATCCATTGATAAGGTTAGCTGTGTTTTAAATTTGCGACGACTTATTAAAGAGCTGCTTGGCCATGAACAAACTGGCAAAAAGCCTAATTAAACGATTCCAGTTTTGCTTTACCCCGTTATCATTTAGCCTCAATATTTCAACATATAAGATTACTGCAAGCTCTAAGATTTATGAGTTATATTGTATGTTCTTGGTAGAACAATGCAACTTAATTGCTATGGCAAAACCTCCATCACTTTGGAAACAAATGCAATATGTACATCGTGGCTGCCAAATCAAGACATGTCGAAGCACCGTAGATATACAAAAAGTTGGACAACAATTATCGAACCTAAAGAAAATACGAAATCTTAATGCCAATCTCTTTGCTACCCGCATAAGACCCAACGTATGCAGTATTGCTATCTGCTACTTACCGGCTGAGGGACTTTTTTGTAAGTAGACCTTTTTCTTCTAAGTACTGTCTGGCTATCTCTCAGGTATTTTTATAGCCCTGAACGGAGCACATGGAGATAACACCAACAAGTGTTTGTTGATTTACCTGGAAAATACATTACGTTTCTAAGTTCCATATGCTTTAAGTTCTTATGTTATTTTGTCTGGGTAATCAACACTTCCAAACAAAATTATATTTATTTCATTCTGAGATTCTCTTATCAAGGCAAAATTCAACTTCAGGTTTAATTTTGCATTGCCCTTAGAGACAAAAATACAAGCTACATGTTAAATACCTTACTCCAGAAAAGAATACCAAGAGACGTAGGTGAGATCATTGTGGTACCCCTTTGCGTACCCCTGATGCCATGTACCTAACAGAATTTTCTATGCGATTTTGGATATGAGAAGAACTAGAGAAAACAATTTCTTTTAATAAGTTAGCTATACTTGTTTTTCTTTGACGCATGTATAATTGGTACAAAGTAATCGACATGGCCTATTCCAAGGGGAATAAGCTGCGGGGGCAAACCTTTGTTTATTTTAGGAGAAGGACAATAGCCTATTATTTAAAACAATAGAGAGTCATTGGGACTGCAGGGGCAATTGAACCCCCCCCCCTAGTTAGTATGTTAAAAAAGGCCCTGGTAATCGAGTTCCAAAACCGCTTATTTGATGCTTGTTTGCTGTTACGAAAGGATTGTATTATTTGCTGTTTCGGCAATGAAACCAGAAATAGTTCTTATCGGTCCATTTGGCATTGGCCTTAATTTAGGCTTCTGGGCTATATGAAATCTTCAGCTACATATTTGTAGAATAAGTAAGAGAAGCAGCATTGAACCATCCTGTTTTGAGTCAATACCTTGCACAGCCCTGTCTGTACATATAATGTAATTAAACGTTATTGTAACAGAGTGACCTGAATCCAGCGAGTTATACCAACAAAATACAAGTAAAAGATGAATGAAATAGTACAATTTCAATTTTGTAACAAAACACAGTCTCTATTCAATCACGATAGGCCTCACATATAGTGTTGTGTCGATTTAAACTTCTGTTTAATCCTGCTACTTTCTCTTACTTTTCACGATGTTCGCCAGTCTCGAATTTCACGTGACTGGTTTCAAGTTTCCTTGCATTTGCACATTACCATCACTGATCGTAATAAAAAATAATTCCCTAATGCCGTTCTCAGAATATCTGTTACGGTTGAATATTATTTGCTTTTAAGAATGATTCATTATTTGAAAACATAGAATTGCTACGACATTGAAGTGAGTTTTGTCAGTATTCTTTATTTGATCTATTGTTAATTGACAAAGAGTCGAAGATTAAAAGTGAAGTAATTGCAAATGATGAAACAAAATGCTTAGTGAAAAATGCGTTCTAAAAGCCATCCCAGTCAACAAACATACTGCAAGAATGCATTGGTAAAACGAGGTCTTGATTTTCGAGAGAAAGTGCTTCTTCTGTGGAAACAGCTGACAAAACGAACCTGCTGAAGTATTGACCCCGATTTCATAAAGTTGATAACCTTGTTGTTGATTTAACAATTAAGGTTACATGTGAGTCAAAGGACAAAGTATAGGCAAAGGCACGAGATGTAAGGACAGAGGTGCTTTGGACAAGCACCTTATACTTTGCTGTTAGGTTCTACTTTTCTTTATAAAATTTTCTTTCAGTCTATGATGTGGTGATGCTGGTTTAAAATAAGAGGGCAAAATCGTTTTTAAAAGTATGTGATAGACTGCACTTTCCAAGAGTAAGGGTTAAGAATCTTTCATGCTAGAAACATCCTGTCATAATTTTGAAGGCAAATTAGACATGCTAAGCATAAATTACTTGGCGCCAATCCCTTTTGCTTTTGGGGGAGACATGAGGGTGCCAAAAAGGTTCCTTCGAAGTCACAACTTTGAAGCATTGATAAGCTGTTATGTTTAACAGATGTTTTTTAAAAAAAGGGCAATAAACCTGGCATCTTCTTATTCAAGTGAAAACGTGCAGGGATAAAAAAGTCACAGGAGACATCTGTGGCCAAAACCAGATTAATACGGCACCGACAAACGTTAAAGAAAGAGATGAAATAAATAAGATAAAAGGTGTACCATGTTTCAAAGGTTAAATGAAGGGACCAGCATGCCGGACCAGCAAACATCAACATGCCGGGTCCTTCAATGTGGTTTGTTCCTAAAGGTGGTGCTTAGATGGTTGGCGAATATGATCCTATGATGCTTACAAAACAGCTCGCACTGTGAAATTCCTGAGTATTTTGTGAAGTATCTGAAGACTAAGTTTTGAAGAATAAATATGTTGACATTGTTGAACAACGTATACTAAAATCTTGATTTTCTATTCCAGGATAAATTTTTAGATAAACAGTACGAAACGAAGTAACGCCGGCAAAATACTCAATAATTTATTCGAGATGCTTCAGGTTAGTTCTTTCTCTTAAACAAATAGTTAGATAACATACTTTTTTCTTTGTTTACTTTTTTACTAATCCAACGGAGAGTAGGATTGAAAAGTGGGCTCCAGGGACTACGTCTTCAAATTTTTATAAAAGCGTCCCCTTATGAACCTTTTTATTGCTATACTCTTCTAACAAGAATGTATGTTGTCGAAAGGCTTTATGATAAAAAAGTATGAAATATGACAAAAGGTTACGTAAAATATTAGGTTGGTGTTTCTTGAAAAAAAAATTAATATCGCTTGCCCTCTCTCTATACCGCTTTAGACGCCCCTTTGTGCCTACTATTAAGAATAATTCAACAAAGTTCTATTTCGCTACGCAGACGAGCACTGTTGCCGACCTATCAGCAAATTCGATAGGAAAACGATTCAGGCAGACACTGAACTTCTCAAATGAAAAGAAAACGATAAAAACAAGAGGCAGCAGAATAGGCCCGGCAATCATCAACATTTATCATTTCACATTTATCATTTGATCTGAATGATGATGAAGTAGAGCATAAGGTGGCCTTGGCAAGAAAGACTTAACATATTTTTTCTATTTATTTGGCCTTAACAATTGCGTCTTAAATACTTTTTATTTATGTGGCCTTGGCAAGTACTTCTTAAAATATTTTTTTTATTTATGTGGCCTTGGCAAGTACTTCTTAAAAAAATTTTTTATTTATGTAAGTAAATTGATCTTTATATTGTGTGACAGTCATCTGTTAAACCGGTACTATAAAAAGATGCTAAATCCAATATTATTCAATATTCAATTCTCTTATCACACAACTTTAATGTCTTCGTCTTGATTTTCCCAGTCCAGTCTCCACTCGTCTGAGCCAAACTGGGTAGTGTTCATGTTCCAGCCATGACGTTTAAGACCAGAATAAAAATCAGGGAATAATCTAGAAGTGATGTTTTGTGCCATTGCCACTAGTTCCCAACTGATCTCTGGGTCATGCACATTACCTAGGCGAAAAAAATTAGAATAAAATATAAGAGATTAAATCTTTGTAACGTTCCCAGACATGAAACATATATGTACAGCGCCAATATCCAGGATGGCTTACGCATAGAAATAATGTATTCTTAGGTGCAAAATAAACACCCCTGTCGCTTTTTCGGCTGATATCATCCCTTTTAACGATTTAAGTCTACATATAAAGCAAGTTATTCTCGAAAACCTCAATTACACCTTTTGTGTACCTCTGCCTGAAATTTGCCAAACAATTTCCTAATGAAGAATATTTTGTCAGCGCAATTCATTATCAACGCTTATTTCGACCACCCATTGATCAAATTTCATAAAAATTCCCAGCCCTATTTATTCTGTCTATGCATCCTATTTATAATCAATCCTGAATTTCAAGGAAATCCTTTATCCGTCATTTTTCCAACTGTGGAATAAAATAGTTACTCGTTGAGCATATGCCCCCATTCAGGTATGCCAATTACTTGCCAAGTTTTCTAAAAAAAGAGCCAATTACTTGCAATTTTTTTCTTAAACCTATAGTCTTGTTTGAGTGCATGAAACTGCTAGCAAAATAGATAGAAGTTCCAGCATATATTAAAGACATCAAGCTGCTGTGTTCATAGATGTAGCATTGGGGAGGCACGGGGGGGCATGTGCCCCTATCTTCTCAGAAATAAAGGCAAAGTACCTATTTTCAAACATATCCCCCACTTTTGAAATGCTTCCTTCGTCTATGGTTGTATTTGTTGAAGTTGACAATTAAAATTTTCTAGTCACCTGAGTCCCATCTTGAGCAGAGCAATGATACTGCTTGACGAGTTGCTTTGTCTTGAAAGATTTCCTGGAAGTTGAATTCATCGAATTCTAAGTATCAGATACGTACAGCAAAATATATTTAAAGCCACTTTTCAAGCTTCCACATGATTTTGACCACACAATATGAATCTTAAAACAAACTTTTTGTGCATTGCTTGGAAACCTTAGAAATCGGTAGGTGTTCAGGGTTAAAATCAAAACTTTTTAATTTCTCATTGGCAGTTCGTTGAATAACTATGAAAATGATTCCCTTCATTTCTGTATTTCAATAGGAAATTTATAACTGTCTAAAAGCTGGAAGAAAACTTTGATTTGAAATTATGTGAGGATGGAAACGTAAGAGATAGCCCTAGCATTTTTCAGCTTGATCTCCTCTAGAACATTGTTTTCAGTTGAGAGTGTAAAAAAGTTAATGATGATATAAAACCTTTTCAATTTCTTAAAGCTGAAGATTCTCCATTATAATATGTCTCAAAAACTGATTATTTTGACAGTACATTGGATTTGAGCAAATTTCAGGAATATACAAACGTACTGGCTTTAATGTTCTTTGGAACAAAGCATCCAGCACAAAGGCCACAAAGCAGCATTCCGCAAGATCTTTGTGCGTAATATCTTTGTGGAGCGCAATTTTTACCATTCCTATGAGGTGAAAGAAAATAAAGTGACAGATATTATAAAATGGAGGGAATAAAAGGCCCAGAGGCAAATAGGCAAAAAATTATGTTTATTTTTCATTAAATGAATTTCTTATCTGAAATCTGACTTATCAAATAGACAATTAAATCGATCAAGCGCAGCAGAATCTTTTTGCACATCATGAAGCACCAATTTGATTACATTTATCTTAAATAGAAGCAATGATTCCGTTATAAAATTGAATCAACTATAATGTTTTATATAGTTTCCTTCAAAAGAAATACAGTACTTAGACATAGGTATAGAATTTTACAAACAATCTTTTCGTGGTACAGAAACCATGTTTAGAATTTTCTAATCATTCCAAACGATTGCAAAGAAAAATTGACGAGATACTGTTTTGTGATAATGTTTATCTGTAATTCTACTAAAATAAAAATATGAACATTAATCAAAGTACCTTACCTTTTTTATTTTTACTTTCTAAATCGAGTCGCAAAATGTATTTTGCATCAAATGTGTTTGTGATAGAATTTTTGAATTCATTGGAACTGAAAACGACAACAAAACTCTAATAAGTACTGAATGCGTATAAAATGAATAAAAAACTGCGCATTGGCATTGAACGTATCATAAATAATAACGAGAGTTAATAAAAAACTTCCTATCTAATACAAAAATCGTAGATTGGGAAAAGGGCGTTGGATTATTCGGGTTGCTTGTAAAACCAAAAGGTTTCTAATTTGTATTCTAAGTTTCATGCTTTATGCAGTCAGGTATATTTGGCAACCATAAGAAATCTCGCCATAAAATTGATAATAATTTAATTGCACTTTGGCTTTAAACTAGTGCTGTCTATGCTAAATTGGATCAATAATGAGTACATCCACTTTTGTTTCAGCACATATTTTCTCTAATAGCTGTTCCAAAATGAGTGAAATTTCTGATATCTGAACTACAGATATGCAGCATTGCACCAGAAAGTTAAAACATAACAAGTTGAATTGAAAAGTCATAAAGTAATGCAGCTTACCTTTTAACTACCTGTGAAAGTTTACACCCAAGTTTCATTGTTATTCGATAACCAGGAGCTAAAACAAACAATTACCGCAAGTTTAAAAGGAATTTTGTGACATTTCTTGTATCAAACATTCTAAAAGCATTATGAGAAATGTGAATTTCCATATGCAAAAAAGAAAACCGGAGGCCCTTTGAAAGTAAGCAGCACACACACACACACACACACACACACACACACACATTATCATATATGGATGCGCAAAAGTTTGGTTTTTGTTTCGGTTTCATCTTTAGAATTCAATGTACAGCTAGGTAAACAATTCATTGAAAAGGCACCAAATCGTCATTAAATGGAGAATACTTTTTCGTAACATTTCAAAACATTGCCAGTCAACTTATGTTAACTAACTGATTCTTGTTTATCGCAGCGCAGTCACTCAGAATGGTAACAACATGAGAATAGAAAACCGCTCACCTCTGATTACTGGATCTTTTCTACCCACATCTCTTGGAGTAAGTATTCTCAATGAGCTTAAATAGTTGCTTACAAGAATATGGAAACGAGGGAGATTGACAGTTTCCATGACGACCGCAGAAACTGCCTTGTAATTTGAATACAAATGTAGAAATGTGAACACTGCGAACAGCACCCAGACTAATCTGTAAAAAATGTATGAGTTAATAATACCGTGAAAATTAGAGCTATTGCCAATTTTAACTGCTTTATTGGTTCAAAAAATCAGGCACATGTTCTTAGACTTATTATTTACCTTACCTCCATTTTACTTGTCTTGATATCAAACAGGCAAGCATAAAGAAATTTCGATATCTAATGGTGCTAAAAAATACAACATTTCTTGTCATAATTCTCAACTACATGATTGCCGAATACTTACAATGAACTATTGGCAACTAAAGGAGTTATGATCAGTCCAGCAATCAATGCCATTAGGTTTACAAGGGTCTCCTGAAATGTAAAGATTCAATATTAAGCTGAATAAGTCATGATATGCTTAACACAGAACTTGCAGTCGTCAGAGGCGCCGGAAGCTTCATGGTGCGGCGGGGGCAGGAACTGCGGAAAGGGCACCTTGGGGGTATCAAATTCGCTGCTGAAATAGATCAGGAATCGTCGTTTAGCCAACGACAAAGACTGGTTGTAGGTGAAGGCCCTGTCAAGGGAGAGAGGGTCGGTGGTCTTGGGGCGTAGCACCTAAGGAAATTTTGCTTTGCTACGCCCTTAAGTCTCTCGGAAATGAAGGCAACACCCATAAAAATACATTTGAATCAAGATTATAGTCAAACTTCATTCCACCGACCCTCTGAAATGAAATGAAATGAAATGAATGATTGAAATTCTTTTCATCCCAACATCAACCATCAAGGGAGGCTAAAGCTTGGCTACAATGATATAGATATCATTCTCTGGCTTAGTTGTGCAGCCGAGAGATTTCGTAGGCCTTGCGGTAGAATCGAAAGAGGAGGCCCTTTGCGAGAGGGAAGCGAGTTGAAAAATTTTGGCGACAATGACTTTTAGATTACCTAAAAATTTCACCTTCTTGTAATCGTTTAGAAAGTTGTACAATTTTATTATGTCTAACTAACTGCTATCAGAAACTGGAAACCTCGAGAGCGCCCTAAACCTCAAGGCCCGAAAAGCAGAGCGAAAAGAAACATTTCAGATCATTGCCCAAAAAGGTCACCCCTTTGCTCATTTCATATAGCACCTTAACAGTTCAAGGACACTTTTTGGTTATGCAGTTGGCAAAAAGAGCAACTCGGTGAGCTTAAGGGGCAGGTAAACTGAATTTTGGAAAAAAAGACTGATATATTGAACATATGCGAGCCAACGTTGGTAGAAATCTGAAATCTGTTCAGCATGATCATTAAAGTTAAAGAGAACTTATCTACGAAAATATTTTTGTTGGTGAAATTGCTCTGCAAATCGATTTTCAGTTCTCATCAAAATAGAAAATATTGACTTTTGTATTGCACGTATGTATCAACAGATGCTTGAAACCTAGATTTCATTAGCATTCAAAATATTTATATGTATTAATATTGCTTGGAAATCAATTTCTTGAAAAGGGCACTTTTCTACCCTCATGCTGCCCCCGCTGCCCCCTTGCTCCGGCGCCCTTGACAGTTGTATCAATTCTTTAAAAGATGTGAAAGGATCCACACATGCAGAAAATTGGCATGTCATTTCTAGTTACAAACACAAAATATTCCATGATTAAAATAAAAATGAGTGACATAAAAACAGGGATGGATTTAAGCGGCAAGGATTAGGGAGGGGGGGTGTAAGATAATAAAATAAAGCAGCTTTTCTGCATCATTTTGTTTCTACTGAGTACCGAAGAATGTGTTTTACCAAATCAAAGCAAGAATTAACAAAGAACACAAAAAATATCTGGGGGGTGTCACAACCCCCAACACCCCCTGGTAAATCCGGCCCTGTGGAAAGACTTAGCAAGGATGCACAGAAGACTGGTATCATTGCCAAATAAAGTTGAGGGTAGAAGCTTAGCAATCAAATCAGTAATAAGAAAGTAGGCATGGTTTTAACTCCCACCTGGCTGCCATCTTTAGCAGAAACATCGGCCATGTTATCTCTTCTAGCTTGATGCTGTGTTAATGAAGCCCTGGTTGCACCACCTGCTACACCAACTATGGACTACAAAGAGGTAACAGTGTAGAAAAAGTTCCTCCTTCAGAATTTAAAGTTTGCATGTTCAGAGTTTGCAGGTTATTGCGTATTTGAAATTGTAACTACTTAACTGTTCATAGCTTTATTTATCTATAACAGATATTTTGTAATTAATAACCTTGTCATAATGGCCAGCTCTTTAGTCACTCTTTGAAACTACAAATAGAAGGCACTAATAAATGGATACACACCTTAGCAATTCCTGATAGACATGCTATAAATGTGAAATATCCCTTGAATAAAGGTGAAACTAGATCCAGCAAAATTGACATGTCATTCAAAATATCTGCAAACAACCTTTAAAAGAAAAGAAAATTGAAGGGTTAGCCATAGTATTATGATATTTTTGTTAGAGATATAGTCAAATACTTAGAACCTTTAATAAATGTTGCTTAATTGATTTATGGCAGAAGCAATTGCTTTATGCAATGGAAAACATTTTGTAAATAACATTAATTATGCATTGTCAGTACTAGGGAAGACAGAAGCATGTCAAAGTTGAGGATAACCAGGATGAAAGGCACTTTGTAACCTGAGGAGTGTGGATTATGCCTCCAAAAGAGTGGCACTTTTCCAAAAGTTCTAAGAAAGGGACACATAATTTTTGGGAAATTAATTAATTCTGGATACAATGATAACAGCCCATTATCAATAAAAATGCAAAAATTCTTTACAAACTATATCTATTTATTGCAAAAAATACAAAATAGCTAAACTGACAAAAAAGAGAAAACACAAACCTCCATCTTTTTGCATCACAGTCTAGTTGTGTCCTGAAATTAATTTAGTTTTTTAATCGACTAATTTTGATAATATCTTTAAAATGATGCATAAAATTCTAAAAAAGATGTAAAATTAACATCTAAATTTTCCAAAAGAGTTGAAAATTTTAGATCACCCTTTGCTCCATGCAAAAAGAATCCTTCCTAGCATCCCAGTTCCATCTAAAACAGAAAATATCAATTTGAAAAAAAAAACAGATTTTAAACAGAATAATAAACTACTTTTATCTTTGATGTTTCTTTGTGGCCTGTATGGAAATTATCATATTGATCTTTTTATAAAGAAAAAACGAAATTCCCTAGTAATTAGAAAACATTGTAACAATAAATATGGTTATAATTAAGGTAATCTAAATTAAAAATTATGTAATTAAGAAACTAATATTCTAACTTTCCATTTAAATAGTACATCGATCAATCAACTTAATTAAGGAATTAAGGACATTTCAAACTCACAATTCAAATATTTATGGAATTTTGGATGGAGATTAAAATACAAATGAATAAGTAGCTAAATCTGTACGACAAAATATAGAATTGTAATTCTCAAAAAAGCAAAGCAATGACCATTGACAAAATATTGGCATAATATATTAATACTGTAAGTATTGAGAAGAAGGCTTGTGCTGTGGTTTTTTTGCCTTTTACTTTTACATTAAGATTTTACATTAAATTTTACTTGTAACATCTTTACATGGCAAAAATATAATGCACCTATCCGCCCCAAGGATAAATGGCACCATCTAAGTGCCTGTTTATAGCACACAAGCTACAAGTTTATTTAATCTATATGATATTGGAACAAATAAGATATTACTAAAACTGCTGGAAAAATATTGAACCTTTAAGCATCCATGTTATTGTAGCTGCAGTTGCTGTTGCTGTCTCATCACCCACGCCATATCCTTTGAGTACTGCTCTTGTAGCAAGGGTTCCAGTGATTGAAGAACAAAAGGCCTATAAAAATGTAGAGCAAATACATATCAAAGTGCTTCTTATATGGCCAACTTTAATCAAAGTGGAAGAAAATTAGTTGGGTATTGCCAAGGAAATGCATATTGCTAAAAGGCACAATATGAGTTTTTTAGAATTCATTCAAATATAATCTTCATTTAGAATGCTTGCAAGCATTAAGTTATTCACGCTTTATAAATGGTGATCATCAACTGTTTTGGCATGCTATTGTTTTTAACATTGAGCCAGTTGGTATATTTGAAATTAAAAAAATCATTAACCAACCTGGGCAGTATCCCAAATTTGATATTCAAGGTAATCTTCACTGACACTTTCTGGGTATCCTTGTGGCAGAAAAACAGTCTAAAATGAAAGCAAATTATAAGCCCACAAACATTTAAAAGTGCTAAATACTTCATAATGGGTTCAAATAAACATCATTCTTATTGAAAACTGTCATGTTGCTGTATATTGATGAGATGATGGATTCTTCTGCATATACCTGCATATGTGACATGTTTTCATATATCCCAAAAGTTTTAGATTATGAGTATGCTTACCAATTAAAGCCAAATCAGGCTTATGCATTACCAGTATGTCTACATTGATGATAATTTTTATCTGGCATTTTACATACCCTGTCTTTAGGCAAGGTAAGATATGCTCTGATATTTTTGGTGCATAGATTTTGGATATGCACATATTTTACAATTTGCAGAATTTCTCAGAATTTCATAGTTTCTTTGGTCAAAAATAGATCCCCAAAAATTGTGCTAACTTCCCAAATCTGTACCAGCAAAAAGTTACTTGATCTTTAGCGTAGAGATTTCCAATTTTTACAATCCTAAATCTTAAGAGAAAGTTTAGTTTTTACACAAAATTAACAAAGGAAGCAATATATACATATTTGTACCAAGACGATAGAATATTTACAATTTTACATTACAGTTGAAGCTAAAAATACTCGAAAGTCGTAAAAGGAACAAAGGTGTGATTCCTTCTTTATAGTATTTTATTATCTTATTACCGTTAGCAAGCGGCGGAGTCTCAAGAGGAAGCTCTTAGTTCTTCCAGAATTTTGATTTTTAGATAATGCAGTCAAGCGTCCATTCTGCAGAGGGTCTATTCTGTAGGCTCCGACAATTTCACTGCCATATCTTTCTTCAACAAAAATTTTCATATTGGAAAATGAAATGTCAAGTAGCTAGGCCACTGCCACTGCCATCCACTCAAAGCCTCGTTTCCATTCGATGATTGTTGACGACGACGACAGGGGCGACGTCACTGATCAGTGGGCGTCGTCCAATGGTCTCAAAAAAGCCATAGTCAAGTAGTGTTATTAACAGGCAGTAGTGGGTGTAGCGCTACCAAAATAACAAGGAGGTGTAGTGATATCAAAATAATAACTCTAGCAAAAAAAATGCAAAAGTATTCGCCAAATTTTTGCATCAACAAGGTACTCAGCCCCCCTGAGCCCCCCTAGAGCCACACCCCTAAACGGAAGATGTTGTTGAAACTGATATTTTAATGTGCAAATCTTTGTGATGAGGATCTTTGAAAGAGAGCTCTATAGTTTTACTCCATAGATTCATTGATGGTTTTTGTTTACCAACACTTTATTTGCCATTTTAATAAAATCATGCTGATCCAGGGACCACAGATTCGAAGGAGGCGTGAAAATATTTGTAGGTTGGGGGCTTAACATGCAAAGCCCAGAAGCAAGATTCAGATTATCTTTGGTTTTGAAATTTTGAAATAACCGCCCCTTGAATGAATCATCGAAATTGAAAGCCTTTTGATCAGCGTCGCGTGTCATTGTGTCGAGGGGCGGTTATATATTCATGTTGCGCGGTTGATGTCAACAACTGAGAAAAGCTCTTGGAATGGAATGGAGAGGTAGAAGAACATTTCCAGTTACGGAAAGCTTGCAGGTTCCACTGTAAACGTTCTGCAAAAGGTAGTAGAAATTTTATCATTTTTGAAAAACGCTGTTTACACCGGTTTACGCTTCAAATACCAGGTTTATACGCTGTTTACTTTTGAATTCATTGATTTGTGAATTAGGCCTAGACTGTGTACTTGTCATTGCTTGGACCAAATTATGACCTCGATTATGTCAGTGCCAATGAACTTTTGAACGTCAAATCACAAATGGCTTTGGCTATATGCGTGAGATCATTGATGTTGACACAGTAATTTCCAAGTGCTCATTTTAAAAGAGAATGATTAACTAAATGCACTGTAAATTGTCTGGAAAAATTATGTTTTGAGAATTGCAAATTTTAAGCAAATTTATTTTAAGATTTGTTTCTAACGGCTCTTGTTTACCCTGGCCTGAGGGAAGTGAATTTATCAAATTTTCGTTCTAGCAGCTCTAGCTCCTTTATTTATGATCTGCGTCCTAGCACTGTAAACTTTGCCCCCTGTTTAGTATGAATTTCATTGCTTTTGAACCTTCTTAATCTGAAGCAGAAATTTTTGAAGTCAGGGAATAAAGTAAATTTGACGATTTTCTGATTACCCTTTTCGTTAAAGATTTTAAAATGTATAGGATTTGAACTGTCCCCTTTGTCCTGGCTTACTTATCGTCACTTTTCGAGGATCGAATAAATCTATTGAGCGAATTGCCCACTTGAGAGAACATCTGAATGCAATTTTCACATTCTGAAAGAATTTGAAAGACTCCTTTGACCCCAAGCGACTGATGTTGGCCAATTTTCTATCTTCACGTGATCGCTTACAGTATTCACATTGTTGCTACGGACAGGCAAACTGTTTTATGAAGAGAAATTTCAAGCGATTTGAAGTAGAAAATCCACATGGCTCCTATGGACAAGCTTTTTGCAAATAACAAATTGTATAAATTTTGAAATAAATAAATTGATTAGCAATTCTCTTTGTGCCGAAGCCTATGGCTCATTGGCATGGTACACTTCCTACACAAACATGTTACAAATACTTTGCAACATGTTACTAAAGCTTTTCGTCTGATACTCCCCACTCGGAGGTCTAATAAGAATTAACTTTAGACCTGGTTAGAGATAAAGAGAGTTCATTTTTCCTCTTTCAGATATTTCGAAAATTCCATGGAAGGCAAAACCACAATAAGCTAAGCATTGTTTGTCCAATGTCGGATAGACGTCGGGTATTGACATGAAGGTAAGCAGAAGTTTGTCTTATCTTCAATGATGGTGAATTCGATCAACCCCTGATAGAAACACTAAAACATCACTTTTTGGCATTTAACTCCAATCAAACAAACGGCTCTTTTTACGAAGGCGTTTATGGTGCAGATTAAATATTGCCACCAGGTATTAATCAACGCCAAAAAAGCCGACCACTTCGCGCCTATTTTGCAAAATTCAAATCTAGAAAATGTATATATCCTTTTTCAATGTAACCTTACCGACGCTGAGTCCAGCTAACATTTATTCAATCCAGTACAGAAGCTGTTATTATTTCTCTAGTACTCAATACAAGTCCATTTCAGCTCCTTTAGTCTATGACAAGGCCGCAAGAAGGAAATTGTGGAAGGTTTTGGTGGCCTAGAGAAAAGTAACATAGCTGTTCGAGGGGGCATATGGACATTCAAATCGAGCTTTTGGGGGTGTTCTAATTGATTAATTGGCCAATTGAGTTGACAACCTACGCCTCCAACTAACCCCCACCCACTAAAGGCTTGAAACGGTCATAGGTATAAATCCAAATCTAATCTTTTTTATTCAAATTGATCTCTTATTGTACCCAGCCTGCTGCATACTGTAGAGGGTTCAGTAAGACAGTTTCAGAGCTTTATTAGTACTTTTTTGCTAGAGAAAAGAGGTCTTGCTAGACAATTCTCGAGTTTCGCTAGAAATGGAAAATGCTTAGAATACAAACTGTCAACAATGACCCTCCATTTATATCTAAACTCTTCCATAACTTTTCCACAATTTATTCATATAGCCTAGCGATAGCAACTATCCTCCCCTCTGGACTTTCTTTCTCCTCCGTAGAGTCTGCACGCAGGCTAAAACGGCATTGATAAACGTCAATTTCACAACTGCTCGGAGCGGCTTTCTTTCGATAGAACGTTTCTTGCAAAACAACCTTACTGTTTTCTTCCGAATAGTCTATTGCTTGTTTGATTGGATTATCATTAATGCTGAACGGCAGCAAATCAAAACAAACTACCTAGCTGGACTATTCAAATTTATCCTTTTAATTAATATTTCTCTTGTCGGCCTTTCCTTTCGTACATTGTAGTTGAACTCTAAACAAGACCGCGCAAAACTGCATTGTTGACTCTAGCGTTCTGAATTTTCGTAGGTTGCAATCGGTTGTAGGACGGGCAGATAACTTAGAATCGGGGAGACAGGGGATCAGAATGGTAGGGTATCAAAATGAACCTAAAGGATCCAGCAACTGACTAAACAGAAATAATGAAAAGTGACCATCAAAAACAACAAGTGACCATCAGTGACACTGTTGAGATGTGAAAAGACCTAAGTTGCCATAAACTCAAAACCCCAAATTCAGAAATCCAAACCTCGCCCAATGGGGGGCTCAAAAAATACTCTCTGGGATATAGAGCTGCGTGCTCCATTGTGATTGCCAAAAAGTTTTTTGAGAAGTTTTATTGAAAGGCTAATCTTGATTTTGACAGCACAATGGCACAGCTTTTTATACCTTGAAATAAAATAATTTGTATTTCTACAAATAAGCTTTTAACCCTTTTTAATTTTCTCTGCCTTGCTGTTACCAAGATATCCCTTTTTAGTTAGTAATGTGTAAACTGGATCGTTTCTTCATTGCATGTTATTTTTCATGATCAACCCACAGAATGCTGAGTAATGGTCAGAGAGACACTGGAAATACTAATAACAGATTTGATAAAAATCCACGGGCCAATTGGTTCTGATTTGCTGCCAGTCAATGCAGGTATGCCTATGTGTTATTTTATTTTTAAAACTTTATCTTTTACCCCATGATATTATACTTTGTAAAACATCAGAATTCTTGCGTGAACAACATTGGCTTGTATGGGTGGCTTTTCAAATCATCCTAAACAGAAAATAATCTCTAATAAATCAATAGTTTAGGAGTTCGGTTGTTGAATATTGGTATTTGAGTCCAGGGGTGTATAGATGAAGGTTCTGAGGGCCTAGGTCTACTTATTCTTTTCATAGTAACCCATCTACCGGTGGCTTCCGAAAAACCCCTTAAAGACCAAATTTTCATAAACTTGTCCATTTATCATCGTTATCCCTACGCCTTCAAACAAATTAGTTAAGACATTGACTTTTTTACTTTGGCTTGTTAGTTATACGGTAAAGGCGTAGATGGATAATCTGCTAATCAGCTCATCTCTCTTTTACTCTCTCATGGTGGCCCCAGAATTACATAAACATTTTCCATTAATTCAATCATTTCAGTGCGACTTTCTGCTTACAGTACTATAACATTGTAATATATTCATCAAATTGCATAATGTCAGCTGATCACTTTGTTGGTGCGATTTTTTCAAGTTTTCGTTTGTTTTTCTTCTTTAATTTAAAGAGCGTAAAAAGTCATCCAAATGTATTCATCGTTTTCCTTTTTAATTCATGTTTACTTAACTATGTTTTTGTTTACGAAAGCGAATTATTGCAATGATACACATATTGTGACTGCATAAAATTTGAATGTTGACCCCCCGCGTCTTCAGCGCATCCAGCTTGAAATATCACGCAGGATTTTGGTGCCTGATGTTTGAAAGGCATTGAGATTTCTATTGACTTTGCCGCCATCTTGAATACTGTACTTACGTTGTAAGTTTTCCCATTCATGTTGGAATAATTAGATCGGCAACTACGTCAAGTGCGGTATTCGTAATAAAGCCTCTTTACACCTGCTAGTGAATGATGCGGAACTGGTGTCGCTAGATGGCAATAAACCCTTGATTAGCAATTCGTTCCTCTTTCAGGCATACTTAAATTGAAGAGTGCTTCGCTTCTGAAGATATCTTTGCAATGGAGCTCACAGGAATCATCTTCTGCATCCTTCTGATTGCGCAACAGAATTTGCTCATTTGTAAGTTTTATTTTTCTTTTACAACAGTTCCAACCTTACAACTTGAAATTATATAAAATTGGAGAAAAAGCGAATTCATTAACACTTTTTTTATAAATTTGCTAGTGAAATTTTACTTTAACTTCAAATTGTTTTGTCACATTATATTGTACAGTGGGCAAGCTAGTAAATTTCTGAATGCCGACACTACACCGGATAACCCGTCCCCATTTTCCGGCGAGACTTTATCTAAATCTAAACCATGGGAAATCTAAGGTGGTATAAATATCTACCTCCTTTTTATATGAACAGATTTTGCCGAAGCTTAATGCTTACTTTCTAGATAACTTGAAACTCAGGTGTTCTTGCTCTTTTTTCAACGTTAATTTTCAACAACTACATACAATGAATCTTTTCTACGACCACTAAATTACAGTTCTGTCAAGCTGATAAAATCTGACACTTTTGACAAGCTGATAAAATCTGTTCGGTTTTTAAAACACGGGGGAAACTTTTAAAGATGACATGGGAAACCTTTTTTTTTCTGCTAATTTTCTAGAGGATGGTTCTTGAGTACAATGCCTGCCAAAAGTCTTGGAACACTGACATCAATTTCCAAGTTCAAAACCAATCATCCCCCTCTCCCCCACTGAACAATGTTGGTTTACTATCAAACGGGTTAGGATTTTAGGAAGCACTTTCTTTTGCGCTTCTTTTATGATATTTCTCTAAATCATCAACATTGTTTGAGGGGGAAGGGGGCGGAAGTAGCAAATTTTGTTCATGAAAGGAATGAAAGATATCAAATGCAGCGTAAATTGGTGGGTGTTCCAAGTACTTTTGGCAGGCATTGTAGTCCTTCTTCTGTGGCAAATCAAGTCCAGTTCTCTTTAAAAGTGTGTTTTTAAAAGTGTGGGGATCATTTCAATGGCTAGGCATCAAGGGACAATCAATGATATCATATAACGCTGGGAAGAGCTTCTCTTCTTTGAAAGGAGTGTATTTAGTTCGGCGCGTTTTTATAAAAAGTTGCCAAATTCACTTCAGACATGCCATTTTATCAGTTCTTCAGATTTGAATTTTATCATTTTAAACGTCTTCATCAACCAAGTCTCGAGTATATTTTCTCATGAAAGTGGTAAGCTTTTCCATTGAAAATTTTACATAAGGAAGAAAGTAAACATATTATTGTAGGTACTACTAGGTCGCAGTTTGTATTCTTCTAGCTCTATTCATTTTTCTCAAACTGTATTGACTATCTTGATGAGATGCCATACAGTGCATGCAAAGTCATCAGTGGTTGGTCCTTGCTCAATCAGCCTCCAACAGTTTTTCTCTTTATTTACAGGCAACGGACAGCTGCTAGCGTTGAACGTAACACTGATACCACCCATTCCTGAACATTCAGTTATTACTTATGCACGTTTGAAAGAACAAAATCAAAGCAGATCTCACTCGTATAACATAGAGAGTATCCGATCAAGCCTCTTTGATGCCACTCACAAAATCCTACCGGCATATACAGCTTCGTGTCCTTCCTACTTCGATACCTTTAAAATGCCACTCTATATTGACAACTCTATTGGAGATCTTAAAACTTCACCCTTCTTTAAGGCCATTCCGGGTGAAATATTAACCGTCACAGTGTCCGCACTTGATTCTCACCGCACGCGCCATTTCGCTACGCTTACTATTAACATACTGTGCTCTTACAATGTTTCACAGAGATTTATCTCCAGTTTCGAAAACGATTCTAGTTGTATTAGAAAGTCTAGCAGCTTTATGCTAGCAAATCCTAACTTGAACGCCACATATATGTTCCAGTTTCCGCAATCGGCATCATTTAAAGATGTATTCTATATCGAAGTCTTCAAGGCAAAGATACCTTATATTTTTAACGTGTCAAGGAGCATCATTCTATTCTTTAACGTCTCCTGTGATTCGAGTATCTCAGCAGAGACACGTTACCAAAACGCCACACTAAAAAGGCTGACTTTATCCGCATATAAAAAGGATCACTCTGTCCGGATACCAATCCCTGGAACGTTAATTAAGCCGCAATGTAGGTTAGATGTAGCCATATTGCCATATATAGGCTATTCAAGATCAAATGCGACGTACAGTGAAATTAGCGCATTTGATAAAGCTTCTCCTCCCTTTACTCCGTATCACAAGGATGCATTGCGGATCACGTGGTTATCAAATGTCAGTGGTCCGTGTGGAAATCGAAACTGTCTTGTACAATTTTCACAACCATCTATAAATTTAGATGCAGACCGAGGTTGTCCTTTGGATGCAGACAGAGCATGCCTTGACGTGGAGACTTGGTACAACAATTGTAAGGGTAAGAATTGGCATCTGAAAGAGTTTCTTGGGTTCTTGTGCCTCCTATCAATGCTACTGAGGTAAAAATTTTTAAATAAGTAGGTCATAGGAACAGCATAAATCATAACGCTTGGAAGGTCAGCATTAATTTAAATCTATACGTAAAGTCAGGTTTCAGTAATTATATAACGTAAGGACATAATCTTTGTAATATTGAATGATGATATACGCAACTATAGTCACTGTGTCATATTTTTCACAGTTCTATCTCTAGAGCAGGGTCGTTGCTAAATGGTGGGTGTGAGAAGGCGTACCCCGTGCCCCCAACATTTCAACTGTCGGCACAAAAAGGATCTTTGACGGTTAAAAGAAGACATTTTTTCTCACCTTGTGGTATTTGTAACCGGTTTATAGCAATTGTAACGTTTTATCATTTCGGCAGCAGTTGAAATTTTACAGTATGGTAATTAAAGTATAAATTTTGAAATAGAAACTATAAAGGCAGCATATAAGATTATCTATTTTATATTCACACCCTTTGTGACTGAGACACGCCTTTTTGTCGACAAAATTCATTTTTGTATCCCTTCGAAAAATGTTTTTAGCTTCGCCCCTACTCTAGAGTATTTACTGTCTAGACTTATAGAAATATCGCAAATTATACCATGAGTAAAACATCGATAGGTAAAATGATGAATGAAATTCACGGTCTGATTTATATTCCTAAAGATAATACATTTAAATAATTGATTTGACTGTATTTAAATTCAATCCTAGCCAACCTGACACTGGGTTTAAGGACCATGTCACCTACTTTGGTTCGGTTGTCTTCCAGTGCAAGCGTCATGTTCCAGTGCTCTTATTCAGCTATTTTTCAAGATCAATCAAAGTTTCACTGGTCGAAGGACGGGCAAGTCATAAAACCAGCCAAAGGGATTCAGCTTCTTAATGCCGTGGAAGGGCAAAACGTCCTAAATTTACTTGCGTTTTCAGTTGAACGTGTGGAACAACAAGGCTATTATTACTTTCACCTGAAAACAAAGTATGGTCATCAGGTGTCATCGAGAAAAGCTCTTGTCTTGATTGAAGGTGAGGCGGTTTGTTTCTCTACCTTCGATCTTCAATGAAATTTATTATAATTTTTTCTAACTACCGTGGACAACCGTATGTGCGCAATTCCCAAATTTGTGCATCTTGCCATTTTGTATCGAATCCTCCCTTAATTCGATATTGCTGCCTAAAGCTATGATTACTTGATCTTTTCGCTACTCAAATAGGCCCAGGCCTGTGGCTATTGAGATGCAGCTATGGTCTTGGAATACAACCCTAGATAGAAACAAGACAGCCATTAACTTATATAAAGAGCTCTTGGGATCCCCCCCCCTCCCATCTCACTTTTAACGCCCCATTCATATGCCATCTAATACTCTAACATAGCATCGCAGGGATAGTACAAAAACTCGGCGTTTTCAACTTTTTAAACGTTGACTTGTTAATTTCAATGCCGTTGTAACACAGCATTGTACCTATATAAAGCTACAGTTAAAATTAGTGATTCAGGGCAATTCAAACAAAGCTACAAAAAAACGCTGGCTACAATCCAAGCAACAATAGGATTCAAGAGAAAGTGCTTAATCTTATTGCTACTCTTGACGAGATGAGGATATTTTGAAAGAATTTTGCCAAAATGCAACAGGTTTTTCTACATCGCCATTGCAACTAAATGCAAACAGTTCTGCTTGTGGGGTTAACAAACCTTTCTATACTCAATGCCACTCATTCCATATATTTTTCAGATGTTTCCTTCATAAAGTTCATATTTACCGGAGAATCTATTCTCAGCAAAAGTAAGGAGGACGCTTTGTTACCTGAAAAACTCACTGAAAAGGTAATTTAAGCTTTTGGCAAATATATCCATTTTATATCTCAATTGTAGATACGATAGTTAAGTAGGAAAGAAACTTTTTTAAAGGCTTTCCATAACCAGGTCAACGGAAGACCACCAAATCCTTTTTTATAAGAATACAAACGACACTTTTTTATAGGAACCAGTAAATTGAGGTTCAAGCTGGCTGTTCCTATTTGTTTCGATAATCTGAGGCTAAATTTTACTTAATTTGTTTTTAAATGATGAACGTGTAAGCAACGTGCAACTGCACTCCAGGGAGGTGTTCAGGCCTCGTTTGCCAACAGAGTAAGTGAGACTCTTTTATATGCCGAGAAGTTTGAAAAATTTATCGAAAAAGCACCCCAAGACGGCAAAAGCTCCTCGTCTTTGAGATAAAACATTGTTCAAAATGGATTTTACAGTTTGACCATGGCATTTTCTTGACGTTTGACCAATTTTGAGGCTCGTGTTCTTACAAGATTACATTTTACCAACCAACTGAAGATTTCTCAAGTGGTTAAGAGGTAGTGTTAACACTCTAAACCTTTTGCAAAACGCCCTTACACTATGATCTTTAGTAACTGTAAACTGTCACTACAAAACGATATTAGAATTTACATTAATAACCCGCATATAAGATTTTCATTTTTGCAGATCAGGCTGTAAAGTTTCTTATTTTTAGAAATAAATTTTGGAAAAAAGGCTGAATTCTTATACTTTGATACATAGCTTTGTCAGCCTGAAATTTCTTACAAGTGAGTTTCTTATTTGGAAGTAATACTGTACGGCTTGTAAAATAACAAAGATTTGTTTGTTTTTAGACCAAATCATGGTTATCTACGATTGGGATTGATCCAAACAAAACAACTTCCTCAGGGACAAGCTTCAAGTACAATACATCAAAGTATGTTTTTGATGTTTAGATATAGATTAGATGTTTATGATTTAGTCCATAAGTGGCCTGTTTGTTAAAAGCTAATTAAAGACATGATATTATTCTCCTCTTGATATTCCGAGATTAATTTTCAATCTTTAGTGCTTGTTTCTATATAAAAAGATTGTTTTAAAAGAAAACTGAAGTTAAAACTTAGAAAGGATTTTTTATTATGGTACATTGCAGCTTTAAAGTTCGAAAGTTACCCGAGACTAAAATGCTAGAAACACAATTCCTTTAAAGTGTTGTTCTGTTTACAAAAGATTTTTTGAAGTGAAAGTGATTTTGTAAGATTTTTCGTGAAAAAACCCTTTTTATAGGTGTTTTGTACATGTAAAATGCAAAATACTGCAGTCTGGGTAATCTCAGCTCACATGAATTCTGGGATATTTGGCAAAGCCTTTCAGTACATTCGTAATATAAATGCACTTTACACATGTGACTGCCTGTTCTTCTTTTCAATCTCATAATATTAGATTACGTCTTTTGAAATGATAGTCACTTGTCGATTTAGTCATTACGCATTAACACCATATAGCATACTCTTTTTCTCGGAAGGTCAGGCGCAGAATTCACCGTTACCATATTCTCTTTAAACGCGACACAAAGATTAAAAGTTTGTGGAAACCTGAAGCATATGTATGAGTTGCTGTCTACTTCTTCAAAACTGGAAATTAAATCGTTTGGTAGGTTTCTTTGCCCTGTGATCCGATCAAGCCTCAGACAATATCCACAGTCTTTGTTTCTTTTCTCTTTTTTTTGCTTTATAGAAAATGTAATCTGTCGACAAGAGCCTTTTAGTCTCGAAATTAATGCTTTGAAAATCTCTAAAAATCTTAAAAGTTTGAAGGTTTTTTAAAGAATGAAACTAGGCACCTTTGGGAAAAAATCGAACTTTTATTCGTTAATGGCTCTTGTATAGCTATGTAGAGACTAATTAGCTTGCAAATTAAACCAGGAGCGATCAGTGATCTTTTGTAGAAAGGAGATTTTATGGAAAGTTGCATACCGAATGCATTTTTTCGTAAACTAGTAAGCTACCTGCATTAAGAAGTAATTGCTATTTCTAAATGAATTAAGTCTCTGTAGACGGCTGTTAATTAGTATATTTAGTATCCTGTCGTCTTTAAGTGTAGTTTTTGTTAACCATCATAGATTGCTGCCAGTCTGTCAACCATGAGGAGAACATACAGTGGCCAATCACGCTTGTTAGCCATACAGCTGTAGCCCCATGTCCGTACCGCGATCTTGAGGATTCTAGAGTTTCCATGGCAACGAGAAAATGCGTCTGGAATTCTTTTAATGGTGCACTTTGGCTGCAGCCTGACATGGAATCTTGCCCCAAGAAGATTTCCACACTCAATGAGCTTGCAAATGTAGGATATTTTTAGGTTTTTCAAGTTTGAGTATTATGAATTGATTCCAGTATTTGTCATCAACAAATTATACAGCCTTGATGCTTTTTCCCAAATAATCTCGTTTTGGATTTCACCACAGTCTCGTTTTCATTGATTTCATTTCAAATTCTCATCAATAAACTTTCTCAATACTATTCTTATTTCTAAATGTTTCTTTGCCAGAAAACATTCACTGCAAGAAATGTCTTAGAAGCTTCAGAGATGTTCTTAAACCTATCACAAGGACATTCCAACAAATCAGATATTTTTATTCTGGAGAAGAAAGTTGCTGTGATAAAAAAAATAGCTGATCTAGAGACGGTTCAGCCAAAGGTAAATCGATCGATTCAATTACTTATAAATTGCATCACCTAATCAAGGAAGCAATGAAAGGGAATGTTTCTTTGCGTTTTGATATTTTTTCCTTTTTTTGCTAATATCGATCATTGAAGCTCATGTGGCCCTTTGAAACCATAGCGGATTAAAACCTGCACGATTTTTTATCGAATTTTGAAATGCAATGATTGTGAATATGGAAGAACAATAAAGCAGAAAAGAAATGTTGCGTCTTATGTTCAAACTTGTACATTGTTATTCCTCTGCTCTTTTTTCATAGGAGAAGTTCGTTATATTCTATGTTGCCTAGATAACTTTCTTTTTAGTTCTTCTGAATGCTTTAAGCAAGAATGGTACATTTTTCTGTTATGAAATGATTGACTTCCAGGTAGCCAGCAATGTATTGACCGTTGCAAGTGGCGTATTGGATGCAAACCAGAGAGTGCTCGCAAAAGGTCAACGAGATCTTGGTCTCTGTAGAAAGTAAGTGCAGTGAGCAAAATATTTCTTTTTTTTGCGCTTTTCTGGCATTTATGTAGGGTGATAGAGAAAAGCATTAACAAATCCTTTTGCAATGGTTATGCCATATGTAGACACCAATATAATTTTTGTGCATTAGACATCTGGTCGTTTATACCATTTGTATATATTCTTAGGCCTTTCTTGTTTCTATATCTATTATTTTATACTACAAATTATTCCGCTTGAATCATGGGCGGCGTAACAGCATCGTTATTTTCATTGGTTTGATAGCGTCGTTGACTTTCCTTGTAGACTTTTGGTTTCAATACAGCAAATTGCGAACAAGCTCAACTTTTCCGGCACAAACACGACCATCGAGACAAAAAACATAGCACTAGCTGTCGCAAAAATAAGTAGTGATAGCAACGCAAGTATCCTTGTGAGAGCGTGGAATGATCAGCAGACATCCAAGATTGAAGTCTTGTCAGTTACAGAACTGCTCGAGCAGGGGCCATATCAAACGTCACTCTTTCTACCTGCAGCCACCATTAATAAAGCTACCTCGATTTCAAACACAAGTGACCTCCGTTTCACTAGCGTCCAGTACAATAATGCGAGGCTTTTTACAACAGTTCACGGCAACAGAGGCTCTAGAAACTTCGGCACACAAATGAACCCCGGTCATAAAGCTACAAGCACACAGCCAAAAATATCTCGCGTTGATTCCAAAATAATTTCAGGATCAATTGTTGGTGTGAGGTTACGTAATCTTGCTTTTGCTGAAGAAATCAAACTTGGATTTCGCCAGCTTTCCAGTTCAAAATCGAGATCCTTCCACAATCAATGCGTTTATTGGGATTTCAACGCAAAAGGTTAGTTCTTTTATTATAGTGGTAATCATTTTGTCTTAAACTTTTCGTGCATGCCTTTTACAAAGTGTCAACCAGTGCAGGAAATTTTCTTGAAATTCACAGATCCTTATCACTGAACATTTCTTATAAGAATTCCAGGTGTTTCAAAACAGTTACCTCTACATCATGTTTCCATTGAAATATTTTGCCCCACGTTGTTTTGCCTAACCTTTTTGCCTTGAAGTTCTCGATATTTTGTGTATTGTAAACTGTTATCCTTTACCTCGTTGGTTTTGAAGTGATAATTTTCAATAAGATTAACGTATCTTGTTAAAACAAGCGAACGCATTATATCGGTACTAGTCAAAGTTGGAATACCTACCACATCCTTATAACTCAACTTAATAAAAAGTGCACCTTGTTGTTATCATAAAAGAAAGAACTTGGGAGAAGGCATAGTGAAGCAAGAGCGACAGCTAATTCACTTTAATCTTTAAGTCGTACGATTGTATTTATGTAGATGGAAACGGCGGTTGGTCAAGTAAAGGCTGCAGAGCAAATGGATCTTCTAACAGCATTTACTCATGTCGATGCAATCACATGACGCACTTTGGTGTTTTGATTCAAGTAGACCAGAGTGCAAAACCATTATCAGAAAGACAAAAAACATCACTCAGTATCGTCACTTATGTCGGCTGTATTATTTCGTTTATATGCCTCTTGCTCACATTAGCCACATTTGGTTGTTTCGAGTAAGTAAAAGAATCCAGTGTTTTTTCTTTATGTTTATCTATTTGCCCTTTTTTTGTAAGAAATGAAAAGGTAGGGATATTTTCATCGCCAAAATGATTTAAGAAGTAACATTGATCAAAGTAATTAAAAATGCTAATGTTAAAGCAAATATATTTTATCTGAATCAGTAAGATATTTGTTTTTGATGATTACCAAAAATTGACCAAATGTCACTTGCTGACACTTTCTGAATGAAATATGATAAATCCTTCGTTGAAAGAGTTTGAGAATCGACATCATCTAAATGTTTTTAGGATTCTAAAATGTTTGATCATATAATCTCAAAGAAAAATATGAAATACATACAGAAATGCAAAACCAGTTAAATCTGTTGCAAATTAACTGCGATTTGGCCGGTGAAAAGACTGAGCTGTTATCGGATTTGCTGTAATTTTGGCCAGGTTCAAAGGTTTAGAACCAAGACCAAATTATACTGAGCTGAATAGAAGAAAAACCTATTTGTAGCAAGCTATATCTCAAACAATTGACAGCACAATGGCTGATTTTGCATACTCAGAGACGCTTCTTAATTTCCTTTCAGGTTATTTGGTACAAATCCTAAGTATCTAAATTTTATTTTTTGTGATTCATGTCTTTGGAATTCTACAAATACTGTGAATTTTCCCAATTTTTTCATTTATCGATATCCCTTTTATACAAAGTTTGTATACAGCTTAATGAAGGTTGCATTTTATTTTTATTTTTTGCTCTGTACTTCGTAACTTTTCATCGAGATTATTAACAGATTTGCTTTCATTCTAAGGAATTTGCGACGAAAACAGCCTTTGCAAATCCACATGTTTCTTTGCTTCTCGTTACTGCTTACAATCACTACATTCCTTGCTGGTCTTCACTCAAAGGATCGAACTTCATGCAAAGTTTTTTCAGCACTGCTACATTTCTTCGTGCTGTCTTCATTTTGTTGGATGGCTGTGGAAGGCATAAGCTTATATCTTTATTTGGTTAAGGTTATGAGATCGGCAACTCTCTCCAAGCTCATCCGGAACAGTAATCTATTTTGCTGGGGTATGTACATTTTCTCTCTGTTGTATTTGAAATTTTTTCTCGAATTTTTAAACATTCATCAAGCAGTTTTGTCAAACACTCGATGAGGCTTTTACATAAAAAGACTACCCAGCACTTAGTTTCTTTCCTATTCTAGACGACCTAAAGAAGTTTGAAGCAATGAAATATATTTTCGACTTTCTTAAAAATATATGTTCGTCCTGATTACGGTGAAATTTACCAAAGACCTTTCGTAAGGACCGAGACACTGAGAAGCTGCGGTTTCGAGCAGTTTTCTGGTCCTTTCTCTCCATACCTCGCGATGACTACGCCACGAATTACAGAGAGCTCGTGACTCTCCTCACTCTAAATGAAAATTTCGTTGTGTTAGATACTAGAACCAACAAACTTTGGATTTGTAGTCCGCCACCCTAACCACGGAGCAATTCTCACACCCATATTGTTTGATTTATGGCGATGACTTTGAACTCCTACCAGAAAAGGTTTGATTGAACCTCAAATTGCCGTCTGATGGCATCGAAATGAACATGGATTACGATCTTCCCAATACAATAGATTTTTATTTCTTGGGTATTATGCATCTGAAATGTGATCCAAAAGGATTCAAATTGAAGAAAATACTTGACTTTCAGAGTTTTGTTCATATGATTTCACTCTTTGCAGTTCTCTTTACAATCAGCTATCTGAATTTTCAATTTGATTTTTTTATCGATTTTTAGGATTACCGGCCATAATTGTTGGTATGACCGCAGGTGTGACCAAGATGGATGCATATGTTAAAATGCTTGCAGATGGCAGCTTGATGTTAGTATCATGAATGATATAATCTAACATAACTAACATGTGACTATGATATATCATACCATGTTGCTTTTCTGATTTTATGTTACCTATAATTTAGGCAGTATTTAAAGTAAATATATAGGTAAATACCTAAGAATCATTGTTGAAATGCATTTTACTGTCATGATTTGCAAAGATATTGAAGTTACAGCAGTTACTGAGTTATTTCATTGAATACCGGATCACATCATGATGCAAATAAGAGATCATTCATCGATATTTTACGCTTTTATAGTTGCTAGGTTGATAAAGGCGTTTTTGGTACTTAATTTTAAAGAAAATTAATAAGTTGTTTATTTTGGTGTTAGCTTCTCAAACGAGAAGAAAAAGCCAAACAGACCAAAAACGTAAACTGAAATGGCTAAATGATTAAAGTCTCCCAGTGTGCGCCCATTATGCATATCTTTCCATAAACGACCATTTCCAAAAGTCATTTTTCAACCAGGGTGTTTGAAAGAGAGGGCATTATTTGGCATTTTAACATTATCAACGGGAAGTTCATTTATTTATAGGTTTAAATGATGGAAGGAGTTTATTTTAAGTAACTGTATTTGTCATATTGAAAGACAGGTCTATGTTTTGTGTAGCATTGTCAGGATTTGGTTTATTTTGAGCCTGAACGCATTACGCTGAGTTCCTATCCCCTTTCTTTTCCAGCTTTTCATGAAAATTTCAGTTAGAAAGTTAACTCAAAGCTGAATTAGGAATTAGATTTGTGACATAACTTTTGACTTTTCTTGTAATTATCATCTAATGTACATTAATTTTGAATCAACAAAAGTAAAAGATCAGGTGAAATTTTTGAGATCGGGAACTTTTAAGCATCAATTTGAGATTTTTAACAACCTTATACTACAAATTCAACTGGAAATTTATTACTTTTTAGATGCATCATCAGGGAAATGCCATTTTATATTGCCTACTTGCTGCCTATAATCGTCATAATGCTGATGAACTTGGTAATTTTGGCATTGGTAAGCAGGTCTTTGATGCGCGATCCTGCAATTTCGAAAACAAACAGAATGACAAAGGTCACTAAAGTACGGATCACGTTTGGCTGTTCGCTTGTTATGGGTACGACGTGGATAATCGGTCTATTTGCAGTCGGTGTTTTCACCTTCACGTTTCAGCTAATATTCTGTTTGCTTAATTCATTCCAGGGGCTATTTATATTCATATTTTATTGTGCAATGTCTAAGGATGTGCGTAAAGAATGGGCCAAGTTCTTAAATGTGGAACAGAAATTGACATCATCAAATACACCTGGAGTTATCATTAAACCAAGCAACAGCAGAAGCAAGAAGACAAAAGATGACATGGTTAATATGAACACTGGATCGGATGGTGTCAAAGAACGCAAAGTTGTGAAGAAATCAGATGAAATTGAAACAAAAGGTGTGCTGTTTAATTTCAAGGAATGCAAAGTTGATTTGCCAGGTGACGAGACAGTTGTTCTGCTTGATTTTCGACCAACTTCTAGCATTAAAAGGTGATTCATTGAATACTCCGTGTAATAAACACACAATAAAAACAATTACCTGTGCATGCTTATGAGGAAAAATTATTATCATGGCCTCCTTTTCACTTTGAGGCTCGTTGTGCACCGAACCTTTATATTGCTGCTGACGACAAAATTCTTTGAGTCATTGTCTGCAACTTGTACGTCGTCTACAGCATGGCAAATGGCAAAAAATATGTTAACTTGCTAAGGAGGTACTAAAATAAGTTCAAATGAATAACAGATGTAGCAGTGAATTTTATCATTTAGAAAGGCCTGTTTGATCCGTCAATTTTATGTAACGACGTCTTGAAGCTTTCACGTGCCGTTAAATAGATCGTATCGATTTCACAAACTGCAGCTTGCCGCGTGGATTAATTAATTTTTTATTTTAACATTTACTAAATAAGAGGTTTTAAACATCAAGAATAAGCTAAATTTGAGTATGTATTATTTATTCATATAATGTAATATTTTAAAACTGTATATTAAAAAGGTTTTAAGATTCACGATTTTAGTTAACATAAATGCACCTTAAATTGAACTGACGCTTCAAATTGTTTCTCAAGTGAAAACTGTCCTCTAGATGAGACAGAACCAGACTTATCACCAAGGCAGTGTCTCTGGTGCAGTTCACCACAAAATTTTCCTGATTTTCATATTCCTTAAAGTTCTTTTGTGACCTTTGTTTGCAGTACATCACTAGTTTATACTCGCTCGTGTTTTGGACAGTTAAATGATTTATACGCTCAGAAGATCTTTTATCTTCTAAATATGAGATTGGAATACAGCGATTCTTTTTAGTTTAAAAAGAGGAACCTTGGTCCATAGAATGATGGGGTGACAAAGACGGATGGCCCAAATAATAATATTGAGGATTAAAATGAATATTGTACGCTTTACCACCCTAAAAACATATATAACATATATTTTATGTTATATCCTTTGTATGTTATATTCTTTGCCATGTCCTTTCAAGACGTGGGCGATCATGGCTTTCCATAGCTTCCTTTCATTTGCTCTTTTTAGCAGTTCTTGTTCTTTTATTCCCCCTCTTTGTCCTTCAGGCACATGTTCTGCCATCCATGCGCTCAAACTAGTCAAGTACTTTATCCGTGATCTTCCTCTGCTTTTCTTTCCTTCAATGCTTCCCGTGATAGTTAAATTCTCCAAGCTCTCTTTCCTCATAACATGCCCCGAAAATTCCAACTGCCGCTTTCTAACTGTTTGCAGCAGTTTCCCTTCAGTTCCTATTTTCTTTAGAACTTCTTCATTTGTAACGTGGTCTGTCTATGGAATCTTTAACATGCGCCGGTAAAACCACATTTCAGCTGCTTCAAGTTTGCTCCTCAAATGTGCTAAGATTTTCCAGCATTCACTCGCATATAGAAGATTGGTCGTTACATACCAGTCCAGCACTCTTTTCCTTGTTTTAATTGTCATCTTGTCATCTTTAATTGTCAGATTTGTCAGTACCTTACTTGATTGTTTGAAAGCATCTTTCGCTACACCAATGCGTCTCTGGATTTCTGTATCACACTTTCCGTCCTCAGTCAACATGCTTCCCAGATAGCTAAAGTTTTTTACCTGCTTGATTTTGATTTTGATTTTGACCAATTTTCAACTCACGCTTTGGGCTATCTTTTCTACTCACGACCATACATTTCCTCTTTTTTCAATTGATAGTTAGCCTCAATTACCTTGCCTAATAGTTATTTTATATTTTCTTCTGAATCTGCTATCAACACCTTGTCATCTGCATAGCGTGTTCTGTCCACCTACGACAAGCCCTGGTAAATCTTCTAGTTCTCTCAGAATCATTGAGAATCATCGCTGTATAAGTCAAACAAATCATTCGAAAGAACGCATCCCTGTCGCATTCCTCTCTCTATTCTGGTATATTCATTTTGATCGTTGTCTATTTGCATACATGCTGTTTGTTCCCAATACAAGTTGCGAACTATTCGTATGTCTTTGCCATGTATATCAAGCTTTCCTAACACTTCTAGCAATTCTTCATGTTGGACTTTATCAAATGCTTTTTTGTAGTCAACAAAACACAAATATATGTCCTCCCGCATTTCTATTGCACGCTCTGATAACATACTTACCATGCTGCATAGATTCCCAATAATGTTGTTGCTAGCTTGCAACCTTGGTTGTCACTAATATTGTACTTAAAAAACTGGGGTATGACGGCATTATCAATGAGTGAAGCTTGCAACCTTGGTTGTCACTAATATTGTACTTAAAAAACTGGGATAGGACGGCAATATCAATAAGTCAGGTTTTTACTTCTGTATGTAATTTTTTTTTGATAATTTTGGCGGGCAGCCTAGCGTACCTAGAACAAGGAAATGCAGCTCGCGATTCACAGTATCAAACGTTTTGTGAACTCAGCAAACACTACATGTAACCTACTACGTTGTAATCTTCTAAGCTGTTTTTATCCTGCTAATATTCCTTCTATGGTTCTTTTCATGTTACGTAAGCCTGACTGTGATTGTACATACGTAAATTCTGTAATTAAGTCGTTGTAGAGAGCTGTGTGCTGGTTCGCTGATTGTATGCTACTCTATATCATAAGTATTCTGAAATTGACTTTATATTATATAGTTTGAAAAATCAATTAAATGTTCGCCACATCTATTTCTATGGAATCTGGTGCGGTCAGAAGCTCACCATCCTTCTTTTGCATTGAACGAAATCTTGAACCATGAATTGTTTCAAATCGGTGTAGAAATGTTTGCAGTTCTTTTTCTCTTTATATGTTTCTGCTTCTTCTGCGTTTTATAGCGTCTCTTAAGCTTTTCGCCTTCCGGTAGATTTCATACTTTTTTCATCAAACAAGTCGTTATGCACTCTTTTCCACTTTCTAAACATTTGTGTAGCTGCTGCTTGAAGTTCTTCTTGAGCTCCCCAAAATCGACTTCACAAAACCGGCATTTTCTGAACTAGAAGTCATACCAGCTTTATATTTGTTCGTCACTCGTCTCTGTTCTTATCTTTTTTAGAATTTGTTAACTTTTTGCTGAGGTTTGTAGAGAAGGGAAACTTAGCAACGATCGAATTATGATTTGATAAGTAGTCATCTGCTCTGGTAAATATTGGATGGTCAAGCTGTTGCCAGCGTTTTAAACATGATTTTTCATGTGTTCTCCGAGCTATCCTTTCTGCCCATTTTACCACGTTTAGTTCTGGTGCAGAACTTCAATATTAAGCACTTATATCTACAGGGCTCATAGGCGTAACTTAAAAAGAAGATGCCAATAGAATTCATTTTTCCAACACCATTTTGGCGGAGGACTTTTGACAATGATTTCAAACCTTTGCCTATACCAGGGGTAAACGACCTTTTTTGAGACTGGACCAGATCCTTCAAACCGTTTCTTTAAGTTGGCCAAAGATAATAAGAAAAAAATACAATCTTGTGATAAAATCAAAAAAATAACAATAATCAAAATATTTCATTTAAATTCAATTACACTACAATTTCAAACATCTTTTTACACAGACAGTTGTAACGATAGATAAGACTGTTACAATCGTAAATGGAAAACTGAAAAAAACCAACCTGGCTTTAAGCAGGATGAATCCGTGACAACGGATAGTGAACAAATCTTTCCATGTTTCCCAGGTTTGATTAAGACATTAGATTATCTCGGTTTGAATCGATATGTTTCATTTAATATTTGTGAACCCTCGGAAAATCATCAGTGCCAAATTCTCTTCTCGGGCCGGATTCTGGTCTGCGGGCCGTATGTTGCACATCCCTGGGCTACACGAACTTTCAAATCATCTAGAGCTGGTAGATGCTGCTTCAAGGCTGCAAAGCTCCTCGTGAAATTCCTTTTCCTTTTCGTATAATCTGCATAGATGAAGCATATATGCTCATTAGGGGCTGGGTTTAGGTTTGATGTTCACAGTCCTTCAACCGTCCAGTTTACCAACTGCCATGCATCTTTTTGAAAGATACCGGATAGATGCCTTTGTTTGAGCTTGTAAAATAATACCTGTTGATGTTATGAAGCGAATGCATGTAATGGCGCTTGTTTGTACTCGTATCAGTTTATTATTTTTTTTTCAAACTTGCTCTCAGAGTGAACTGCACCTAGATAAATCATATCTATTAGGATTTGAACAGCTTAAGGGTATTACTAAAAGTTTCCAATGTAGCAGAATGTTAGAGAAATTAATGCGTCCAAGAAGTAAAAACCTAGTTCACATAATTTTCCCTTACATGATAAGCACTTATAATCTTCAAAGTCACATGATTTGCTTAGGACGCTTGTTATCCAAATTTACTTGATATGTTCCCCACACAGAATAGCTAAAAACCCTTCATTGCATGATGTAGAATTGTTATTACTGGGCAATTGATCCAGTCCTATTCGCTTTGCTGTTTGGAGGACAGAATCTTTCCAATTTCAGAATAAGTTATCAAGCCAGCAAAGAATAAGCGCCTTGGAGTTCTGTCTCAAAGCAAAAAAGCTTATTGTTTTTTTTTCTTAACTTAAAATGAAGTTAATGTGTGAATCAGATTATTGTCAGAACAAGGTTAGATCCTTGTGATTCGTTTCAAATATTGCAATGACAGTAACAATCAGTGGCGGCTCGTGTATTGGGGCTAGTGGGGCTTAGCCCCACCAAAGATTTCCAAAAATAAGCTTTAGATTTATAAACGTAAATAAAATCAACGTCCATTATTAATTTAGCACTGTTCACTAATTTCGTTGCTTCGAGTTTCACTGTTTGTCCATTCTCTAGTTTGTTTAGGTCCCACTCTGCCCGCGGTTCTTTCAAAAACTGAACAAACACGCGTATCAGAAACCATCTCCCGAGCTTTTGGGGCCAGCTCCAAACTAGAAGAGAATGCACCAATCAAATGCCTCTCATGACTTGGCCCCAAATAATTCAATTCAACGGTAGCTGAATTTTTGTTGTCGTGATGTGATTGGCAATGTTGATCTTGAAGTGGAGCGCAGCAGAGTGGCGTGTATTCGATGACTCGCATTTTCAACTTTAAAACTTTGAAATAAAGCATACAAGTTAGATCTTTATCAGAATTAATTTTGCCGATCCTGAAATAAGCTCAAAATGGGAAGGCTAGGCCGTAGGCCTTCTAATGGCATAAAGCATATTTCCAATGCAGGCTTTCAACTGGAACAATTTTAGATTCACAGCATATGGAAATTAATCAATTAACAGTTTGAGCTTTTTATTCTTTAAAAATTTTTTAATTGCCATAATATGCAATGCAAATGATATCGTCTACGGGTTGGCCATATTCAAGTTGTCTATGTTTTTATGGACATCCCCCACGAACTCCCCTTTTTGTGAAGAGAGAAACGGTCCAGCGGACTTGAATAAATAAAGTTGAGCACACCAACATTTCACATAGTTTATTACTTTGCTTATTAAAAATTATACATGATTGATAGTGGCACTTGTTTTTCTTTTCAATCGAAACTTTCAAAATGATGACAGCCTTGTTGATTAGAAGTAGTAAAGAATGGAAAGGCTTTTTATTATTCTTGGCGTTCCGTGTCTATGGCTTTAGATTTCGAATATTACGTCATCAGCCCCACGAAAAATTTACCCCACGAGCCGCCACTGGTGACAATGGAAATCTGCCCAAGCTAAATCGTCATGGCAGGGAATGGTTGAAGTGTGTACATAATACAGACATTATGTCAGGGTTAATTTGTAAAGGTAAGTAATATTTGTTTGTATCGAAGAAGCATTCATGCAACAATGTCTTATCCAGTGTGACAGCATTGGATGGGATTATTACGAAAGGAATTTGGGACTACACTCATTTTTTTATAAAAAACAAAGGTCGATGTTGAGTACTCCAGTTTCTTAATGTTCTGGATATTTCAATACTCATTTTTTCTTAAGAGTTTCTTGATTATGATTTCATAATAGCAGTATTATCTTTACTGAACCCTTAGTGATAGCAGTATTATCTTTACTGAAAAGGCTATCCTGTATAAATATGGTAGATTATTATTGTTATTATTATTATCATTATGAATGATGTTATGAAATGTTTGTGACCTTTTTTATCACGTCAAGAGATTCGCTTCCGTTCCGATGCTGTATTTAGATGTGGGAAGTATATTTTTATCCCTTGTGTCGTAAGTTCTAGGCCAACAGGGCAATCGTGTTCTTGGATTTTACAAAATTTCGTTGTTCTCAGTTTTATTACGATATAATAGTTTCTTAATTTTTTTGCTTCGAGTACTGAAGTTTCTTAATTTATTCTGACTCTCCAGTAGTCGTTTCTTATAGCCAGTTTCCTATAGAAAAAATGAGTGTTCTTTCCCAATAACTTGCTGGGCTTGAAATGCGCGAAATACAGCCATAAGTTTGGGAGTGCGCTTTGACGTTTTTAGATTTTTAATTGAAGTCTCTTGTACACTTTGTAAATGTCGAGCTTATACAATAGATTTTTTTAAGCAGTTTGTTTTTTCAAACAAATGTGGTTTTAACACACTATTTAAAAGTACCCTCTAAAGTAAAGGTAATAGAGACCTACAAAAGTATAAGAAACACCGATTAAAGGCAGTCTGTCCCCTATTTTGCTCAGCTTTATTTTCACGGGAGTGAAATACATGCACCGTTGAGCTTGATCGATAATTAAACGATTTAAACCAATCAGAGACAACTTTAATTCCAGAGCTTTTGAATCAAATGGCTGTGTTCCCGTCAGTGCTGCCACACGTAGGGTTCTCTACCTACAGTAGGGATTTTGAGGGTTTTGTTGATTGTAGGGAAAAACTAACGGTATAAATCTTGCAATGTAGGTATTTTTTCGAAATTTGTAGGTAGATTTTTTCAGAAAGTGCAAGTGGACTCTAGGCCAGGGAAACAACAATCAGAAAATGTGCTAAAATTATGTGCAAATGCCAAAATTAATTCTAAAAGTATTGATTCTCTAGTCTAAAGAAATTTTGCGACCAGAAAATGGAAGAGCAGTCTCCATCTACCATGAATTTTTTCGCTGGTTTGCCCCACCTGAGTGATTTGAACCACAGCTATAGAACAATAGGACTCAAATATAAAAATAGAAAATGGATGCCGTCTATTTGTCTTTCTTTTCATGCAATGCCCCAATCGCAAACATATAGCAACCGCATTAAAAATAGACACCATCGAACGCCTTCCGTAGGTAGAAAGTAGGTTTTTTCAAATTGAGTTGCTGCGTAGGTTGTGTGTAGGTATAAATTTGTAAGGTGGTAGGTGGAAATGTGTATATTGTGTGTGGCTGCACTGGTTCCCGTTGTAGTGAAGCTGTGGCTAGGAAAATTTGGTTCCCTATTTGGTTTCTGCGACAGATAAGTCAAAAGGGCAAAGAAATTCTTCCATTATTATCATTCAATCCATTAATTAACTATTCTTGCCACTTCTGATGGTCTTTTTGATGGCAGTTTCAAATGTCGTCTACTGTCGCAGCTAGGCCAGCCAAAGCGAGCAGCGTAATCCGTTAAGGCAGGATAAGCTATTGTTCATATTAGCCCCAGTCATTGAGGGGACAGATGGCTTCAATGTGAAAATTGTACGATGTTCTTGGTTGAAATTTGCTTTGCCTTTTGAAGCATAGAGATTCACTGCGCCTTGAAGCATGGAAATTCCTGTACGCTCTGCCTTGGCAACGCTTGGTTAACTAACTGGTAAACACTGGTACTTGTGTATCCAGGAATACTTATATCGAATTTACTTCCTATGCTCACTGTTGTGACCGAAACGTCAAATGTTAAAAATTTCTTTGCAAACCTCTCAAGAGCTTAAACAAACGAAAAGGGTTGATAAGATTCTACAAGTTATTTATATAAACTTGGCAATGAATGGTGTTGCGAGGATTATGTGTCGTGACCTTGAAATATTGCGTAAGTTCCATGTAATACTCTCCTCATGCCCCTCACGAACCCACGGAGAGTCAAGCTCCATCACTCCGCAGCGTCAGAATTTTGAACAACGCCTCCTAGCCACTTCTACTCTTTCCTGGCTATTATTAAACTTCGCATATAAATACAAGGGAAATAATTGTCGTAGATATTTTCAGTAAAACCTTCGTATCAGGCAGATTTAATCGAGAAAATATCTAAAACATTGTGCTGGTTATCTTGAGCCTCTAAGCAGGAGCTTATTGTTTGTCGTCCTATCCTATCTGATCTTTTGTCTGCCAAAAAATTATTTCGTGATGCAAGATGGCGCGTCGAAAGCAAAACAAGAGAACGCAATTGATTTGAAAAACATACATTAAAAGGAGCATAACGTGGCGCTTGCTTGAAACTTGTTTTGCAAACTAAAGTTATCACATTGAATCATGTAAAGGTGGATTTATTCCAACGATTCAGTTAATGACTCACTGCTTATTTATTTCCTTCCCTAAGAGTTAAATTTAGGCCACATAATACCAAGTTTGGTATACCTTCGCATATGGAGTTACAAGGGAAGCGAGAAGAAAACTATTGTGCATTCAGACACCATATTTTAACCAACTGGGTCTTCTCAAGAGTAAATCCAAGTTCTTTCTTGGAATTGGAAAATGGAAAAGGTTGGAAAGTATGTTTATGAGAAGAAAGATTTGATAGGCCATGGTGCATTCGCCATTGTTTTCAAGGGAAGCCTGAAGGAGGTTAGTGGATTTATGGTATTTTACACTGCTGGTGTTTGTTTCAAAAGTCTTAAGAAGTATTTTTGTGACAATGCGAAATTGACAACAAAGAGAACCAGTTTGCGGTGAACTTAACAGCACTGTGCGTGTGGTTTGTCATGAAATCCGTTTAATTTTTCCACAACCCGTTGTTTTGTGAGCAGTTTCCATCTCGAGGATAAACAAATGTAAGAGACGATAATAATTAACAGAGAAGAAGACGTATTTGTTTAAAACTAATATTTATAATTGTATCCCAGAACTTTTTGTGTTGCGTTGCCTTAGGATCCCAAGATTTTTTGCATGTCAACAATGTAGGTTCCTTATGAGTAAACAAGCGGGATCATTGGTAGTTCATTTAGTCAATTATTTCAAAAGTGGATATATTTGTTCAAAAAGAAGAAAGGTTGTTTCGCTTATGGCATCTGCGGATTATTTTTTGCATAGATCTGCTTTTTACTGTTATGTGTCAATGTCCCTACCTTGAGTTCTTTTTAAACTTTACCTTTGCACTTTTAATCTTTTTTTGTACATTTTATTGAATATTCACCAACATTTCTTTGATTGATGCCAATTTCTTTTATGACTTGAGAATTAGCTTGCAATTCTTATGATTTTAGAACCCTTCGAAAAATGTTGCTATCAAAACCATATCAAAGAAAAATATTGGAAAGACTGAAGGACTTCTTGGGAAAGAAATCAAAATATTGAAAGTATGAACTTTTCAATTATTTTGTCAGCTAAAAGAATTCTTATAGGGAAAATATATGGAGATTAGCTTTTATCAATGGTTGTGCAACATGTAGTGAATTTTTAAAAATAATATTGTTTAAATAAGTTTTATACAAGTTGAGGTCAAGATATCTTTAAGCTTCAAAAAGCTATTTATGTCACCACATGTCCACAGCATTGCTTCCCCAAACATTTATTAGAAAATATTAGAAAGGTTTGGTACAGAAATGCCACATTGTGCCTTTATTTGAAGAGATAAAGTTGTTGTTAGTGATTACAAGCAGGCCTTGGAAGATTGAGATCTTCATATCGAAAGCTTTGAAAGAGTGTTAGATAAGAGATTCAACAGTGGTACCAAAAATCAACACAATATGAAATAACAAAACATGCAACTGTTAATATAAATATAGAAATATAACAAAACTAAGTCTCAAAATTGTTCGCATTTTTCTAGATCCGTAAGTTGCCATCATTTGATGAGCTTTTGTCACTGTCATTATCACTACTGTTCTGTTTGGCTTCAAACATTGCTTCATCAAAACGCATGGCTTTAAATCGAACATTAAACTTTGTTTCCCTTTTTATGCTATCCATTCTATAAGATACGCTAGAACATCTATTACTCACGAAAGCAAATATAAACTGAAAAGCAATGCGATAATTTGGGCAGAAATCTAATCGCTGATTTGCACAGGTGATTTAGCACAGGTGATTTGCACAGCTATTAAGAAAAAACAGAAAATAATACTTCAACAGAATATTAACACTTGCTCGAAAATCCAATAAATCTGCCGGAGAATATGCTTGATGGTCTGTGTCCTTGGTGGTTATAAGAGGGTTGTTAGATTAAAAATGGTATCAAAACCCAACGTTAATTTGCTGAATTTTTTTCTCAAGGGGTAATCTTACGCAAATTGGGAAGGTTGTTTATGCTTGATCAAGTTTATTCAACAAATTCCTAAAACTTAGTTTGCTCCGAGGTAATGTTGTTTGTACCTTTTGAGGGGCTCTATAAATTGCTCTCCAAGGCTTTTTTAGGTTTTTCAGGGCAAGGCCTGATTACAAGTTGCTTAAATGCTCTCTAAACAAGGTAGTAATTTCTCTGAAACATGGCAGAGTACAAAAGGTACACTACCAATACTTACAGCTACCAAAAGAAGACCTATAGCTATCTATCATGTGAAATTAAATTCATAGGACACTGCAGAAAAGCATTCATGCAAAACTTCAACATTTCAAACCTATCATTCTAAGCATTTGTAGCAACTTAACAATAAGTTCAGTATTGATATATTATATATATACTTTATGATTGCAGCACATTTATTTGGTTTATTGCTGCAGTGATATATTGAGCATCCAACCACAAAAAGCAATAGAGGGGCAATAAAGAAATAATGCTTCTTTGAAATTGGCTTCATAAGCATAAAGGCCGTCTATTTTAAACTATAAACAATAACTTGTATTACTCCCATTGAAAACGCAAGCTATTAAAGTTAGAACTTGGTAAACAAGTCATTATATTTATGATATATGATAACCTGTTTTGTATGACAGTTTTAATTACTCTTTCTAATTATTATCCTTCAGGATCTTCATCATGACCATATTGTGCAGCTGCTTGACTGCATTGTAAGTCAGGCCTATTTTTTCCGCATATTCATCTTTGCAAACATCTAATTTTGATTTATGATTGCTACAAAAAAGATCCAGTTTCTTTTCTTTCTGTTCTGAGTATCTTAAAGCTAAAAACATTTTCCCCATGCTTTCAGTCTGTCCTTGTTGTCGCCTCTCACTTTCCATTTCTTTGAATCAAAATATTTATAAGTTCATCCCATCCAATGATCATAATTTCTTCTCAATTTCTTCTTGGTTTCTTTGTGACCTTTTCCCCTGTCGTAATTTCAATTTATCCTCAGAAATGTAGAACACTTTTATAAAAGAAAATGCGGAGAGTTAAGCAAAATTTTTACTTTGTATTGCTTTTTTGTCACAACCAGATCTTTTTGGTAATTGAACCACCTTTAACCTAGAAAAAGAACAGAAGATTGATGCAGAAAGCTATTTATAACTTTGTCAAAACTTCCAATTCAAAAGCAAACTTCCATATAGATTTTCGTGATAATCTGACCTTCACTCCTGGTAAAGTCATACCATCATATGTTAAAATTGTAAATTGTTTCCTTAAGTTGTATTCATTGTAGCCAAACCCTGAAAGTAATTGATTCTTTGGTGTTACAATTTACATTGTAGTCCCTGATATATTTGATTACTTCATTTCTTGATTCCCTTTATCGTATGTGTATGTTATTTCCGCTGTATTTGCTCACATTTTAGGAAACTACTTCTCATGTTTACTTGGTGATGGAGGTTAGAAAAATTTCTTTCTTCAACCTGCTTCTTGATGTCATTTTAATATGGTAAAATTTAAGGAACTAGAAAGAATTGAAATGGAGAATACCCTAGTGATCAAGATTGGGCAAAAAGTTTGTTAAAAACATATAACCTCATTTTTACAATAAATCTTTAGTATTTACATTGAATTTCTTTGGTCATTTGTTCTAATTAACTTATTTATAACATTTTGCTAATTTGATTGCCATGTTTTACCAGCATTTTACATATTGATTTTATTCATGTCAGATGAAAAGTTAAGAACCTTCCATGCAGATCTAAAACAGTCAATGATATAGTTTTATGAGCTCTGTGACACTAACAAAGCGAGAGTGGAATTAAAAGACAAAAACCATTCCATTTGAATGATATATTCGTGCATAGAACCGGAGAACCTGCATTCTTTGTCTTACAGCATTCTTTGCCATTTATTCATTATCATAGCCTGACAGTGGAAGTAGGTCATTGCTGGGGAATAATGAGAAATACAAGGAAATCAGTGACTACAACGAATAATTGTGAACACATGAATTAGCCATGCACATTCCATCAGCTAAAAAAGTTCAAACAAATCAATTTTTTAGGAAGATGCTAAGCAGTTTGCTGGACTTGACTGCATCACTCTCAATATTTACCAGGGGTATCAGGTCTTTTAGGCTGTCATAAATGAGACAGTAAAAACAACACAACTACAAACCGGTTTTAACAATTTCAAATTTGGATCATTTTATCTAAAGAACACCATCAATTACTTCTAAGTTTGAAAAATTCTGTAAATCCCAGGAACCATTGCAGTAAAACCCATGGAATATGAGTTTTTATTCCCAGCATATTCCCAAGTAGACTTTGCTTAGTCGGAATTTGTTGCGTTCTTGCAGATTCTATAGTCTAACTCACAAAATTTCAAACACAGATTTTAATGACATCATCACTTCACGTCTCCTTTCATCAATCAAAATACCATTCAAAAGACAAAATGATCGACAATTTTGTCATTGCTCAACTTTTTGAATTGTTATTTCTCTGTTGGCAAAATGTCTGGCAGGTGGATTTGGCAGAATACCTAAAGAACGTCTGTCTTTGACAAACATCAGACAATATTGCCAACTTGCCCGATATGAAAGCTGGAAATAATGAGCAGCTGAGACCAGATTACTGCTTCAAAATCCTTCGTTTTCAGACCAACACCCAGCAAAGTTGTGCTAACCAATATCCAATCTTGTCTGGCTCATTTTACCCCGCATAAGTGAAAATCTCTCAAAACAGACATTGGTAACTCTAAACTGTATTTAGCAATTAACTTAGTCTGGGTATCACACCTTGGAAAATCGATTGCTGTATTCAATCGAATCCGGTACGATATCATTCTGTATCAGTCCTCCATTCGCACGGTGAAGGTTCTAAATACGATATGAAATGAATATGATATGAAAAGAATACGGTATGAAATGAATATGATATGAAATCAATACGTTTAGAAATTGTCTTCCTTAAACCACTGAATCTGATTGCTGATTAGTCAACTTTCTTGCAAAAATCAAAATTTTTTGCTCAATGGTTCTACATGAAAAAATATCAAATTATTTACAGGATGATGTTACAAATCTCAGTCGTTTGAAAATAGCAAGGAAACATATCTGAATTCCCGTTTTTCCGCTTTTCGTATTTTGAAGTTTTTACTTTCTCGCTAAATTCCCCCTTTTCCACGCTTTTTTCCAGATTTCTTGGTACCAAAAGCTTACTTATCGAAGTTATGTTTGGTATTCAGGCTGTAACATTTCTATAGACGTAATGACATTTGACTTCGGGATGGAGTTTGTAGATTGATGTTCAGGGATATAATAAGTTCGTCTTTAAAAACTAAGCTCATAATTGTTTTAGACATAAGACATAAGAGCTTTCATTTCAACCAACAAGAATTACAATTTGAGTTATGATTAATAAAAAATAAAGAACGAGTACATGAATTGGACTAGGTTTGCCATAAACTATGATACCAAGTCATTAAATAGATGAAATTGAAGATTTTAAAAAAGAACCAAATGGTTGGGAAGGGATCCTATAGCAGAGCTAATTCATAGACCCCTACCCGGCCGATTGGGCCGATCCAGACATACCAACTGAGGTTACCACTTCTTAATATTGTTTTACCTTAATATTGTATTTCTTTTATATCTACAATTAACTATTGCTTTCTCTGTTTTCAGTATTGCAATGGTGGAGACTTGGCTGATTATTTGCAAGGTTAAAAAACTTATGAAATCACAGCTTATTTTTCTTGTTTCATATATTTCATTTGTTAGTCAGCTCAATGTGATTTGAGCTATATTTCAATACAACCGGTTGCTCTAGCCGTGAAAAGTTTAAACCAATTTTTTAATTTGATTCAATTTGTTCCTTGAATATTTTATAATATCTCTTCCGTATCCTTTTAGTCCCGTTAGCAAAAATTAACTTCTAGAAGTTGAATTTGATAAGAACACTTTGTTTTTTCGTTGTGATAAGTTTTCAGAGGTTGAAACAAGTAGTATGTATGCCCAAAGAAGTTTCCTGCATGAAGCAATGTCCCTTATATTTTTTAATATAGATTTTCATTTATAGCAAAAGGGACTCTGAGTGAAGACACTATTCGGCAGTTTGTGCTGCAGTTAGGTGAGAAATTTAATATCAAAGTAAGCTATCATTGTTAATGCTTATTAAAAAGGATGTTTCCTGGCAGCAAGGGTGTCTCGTCTTTTGTAAACATTTACACCAGAGCATATGTATCAGTGTACAAGAAAATGTAATTTGAATGAATTTTTTTAGAGAGATTAAACAAATGAATCGATTCTTCGAAGGATTTTAACTAATTTTTGTCATTCCACTCATTTCAGCCTCTGCTATGCGAATTCTGAATTCCAAGGGCATCGTTCATCGTGATTTGAAGCCACAGAACATCTTGTTGAGTTACAAGGGGAACAAATGTCCGCAACCAGATGAAATCAAAGTCAAAATTGGTACGCTATTTCTAGCTAACCTTTTCCAAATCCTATAAGTTTTGCAATGAAAGTGAATGCAATAGTACACAGTTCTATTGACGAGCCGAAACATTTTCGCCTTTTCTAACAAGATTGTCCTCTAGAATTCTTCTACACTGGTGAAATGCAACACTTGGTTTTGGTGCATGCAATGAAATCCCTTATTTAAAATTGTAATATTTGATACTGGCTGTCAATTTTTTTAACCTTGTTAAAGTACATCTGTGCCTTTTTAGCTGATTTTGGCTTCGCAAGAGTCCTTGATGGAGAGATGATGGCAGCAACACTTTGTGGATCCCCTATGTATATGGTAAAAAACATTTTTCATTACCAATTTGTTAGCAAAACCAGCTTAAGTGTATTTCACTGTTCGTTGTTATAAACTGATATTGGCTTGGTTGTTTGATTGTGTGGATAATTTTGCCCCGAGAAGCCTAAGCTAAAGCAGACCCGAATCCCTTTGATCATTTTAGATTCCTTTCAGTTGTATTTGTGATCACATGTAGTTTACAGCCAGTACCCATTCATTTATAAACGCAAATGCATCTATGTAAAGTTGACTTAAGAAAAAATAAACTTCTTCAATTTTTCACTTTTGTTTTGCAGCTGACGTAATCATCAAATGATAAACACTATTTCTAACTAAAAGTCTCATTTTGATTTCTGATAAGTGTGAAATCTTAGTTTTGTCTCTCCAGTTAATATGAAGTCACTTACATGTACCTTGAATTCCTTAATAGATAGTATTTCCTTTAGATGATAAATGCAATTTCCAATTTTGCACACGTTTGTTTTGCCATGATCGATGCTAACATTTTCATATTCCTAGTAAAGTTAATCTGCCTCTTGATCATTAAGTTACTTATTTCTAGGCTCCAGAGGTAATAATGTCAAAGGCCTATGACGCAAGAGCAGATTTATGGAGCATCGGCACCATTATTTATCAATGCTTGACTGGCAAAGCACCTTTCCAGGTAACGTGAAATTAGACTGGGCTGTAACAGCGAAGTTTTCCTCCTTTTTGGGGCCCCTGAGAATTACTATAATTGTATTCTGGATGTCTTCACTCATTACTGAGAAATCGATATGAATCTAGTCAATACCTGCATAGCATAGCACACAAATCCTGAGCTTTCAACATTTCTTGGCTAGCATAGCACACAATTTGGTGCCTATAAAAAATACGGAGACAATTTTGTCAGCGATTGGTGGGAGGCTTCTTAGACATGTCCTGAATCGTTATGTGGGCTATGAGCATGTGGTATTTTAATCTTTTTCTGCAATAACATTTCACTGAATCATTTGTCATGAACAGGCAAGCAACCCCCAGAACCTTCGAAAGCTTTATGCAACCACGAAGAACCTTTCTCCAAGGTAACGTATTTAATTGTACAAGTCTCTCCATTTAATAACGTTTTATAAGGAAAAATTTGATTTTTCAACCAAGTCAAGCTCATTCAAGAATATGTATTCTAATAATGCTTTGTGATATGTGGTAGCGCGTTGGTTTTTCAAAAGTCTCAGTGGCTCTCTTTGCCATTGTTAGAGTCTTTGTCAATTGAAACAAAATAACGTTCAATCCATTAGCCTATATAAAGATTTTTCTCTAGCATAACGATAGTAGCAACAAGTCACAAGGAACCTGAAGTGACCAGCAAATAGATAGTAATATTGGAACACTTTTTAGGAAGCTACATTTTGGTCTGCGTTTTAATAATATAAAATACGTGTTGCTATGTTTAATGAAAAATGCAATGTGATTACTGTTGATCGATTAATACATATTGTTTTGCCAATCTTTTGCTTGTGATTCCTGCGTTTTTGCGTATGTTTTTACGTTCTTATAGTTGATTTTAGACAGTCATCGACTTTTTCCATCGGTCAGCTCATGTGCCTATTTCTTAGGATTCCTCCTGGCTGTTCTCAAGTAATGAAGAATCTCTTAGTTAACTTGCTGAAAAAAGACCCAGAAGAAAGGCTGAATTTTGGTAATTTCTATTTTTAATCATTATATCATTTGATTGTCTTTCAGTAGGGTGTGTAACTTCTAAATGTCAGCTAAAAACGTAATTAGAATTTTTGATTATTGAAGTTTTTCTATTTTCCAGTTGAGACTTTTATTGAGGAATATAGATAAATATTTGTATATATAGAGCTTAAATAATCTTTATCGTTACCTTATATAAGTAACCCTAGCAAACCAACTATGAATAAAGGTTTATGGAGTAGACGACAGTTTATTGTTAGAACTGATTAGCATTAATTATCATAATACAACTGACCGCCTCGTCGCTTTTCATATTCTAATTTTTTTCTACAATTTTTCCTGGCAGATCAATTCTTCAACCATCCATTTCTTTCCAACACTGCACCAATGAATCACTGTAAGTTCACTTGAAATATTTTGGTAAAACCTGTATTAATGTCTAAAGCATACTATCAACGCTAACAACTCTGAGGATTTATAATTTGGTTTGGGAGTTTCAATTGTTTTTAACAAGGTCCTGATATTTAAAGATTGACTCGTGCTACTGTATAATTCTTTCTAGAATGCATATGATATTGCATATAATATTTCTAAATAGCATATGATATTGCATATAATATTTCTGAACTGCATATGATATTGCATATAATATTTCTAAATAGCATATGATATTGCATATAATATTTCTGAACTGGATATGATATTGCATATAATATTTCTAAATAGCATATGATATTGCATATAATATTTCTGAACTGCATATGATATTGCATATAATATTTCTAAATAGCATATGATATTGCATATAATATTTCTGAACTGCATATGATATTGCATATAATATTTCTAAATAGCATATGATATTGCATATAATATTTCTGAACTGCATATGATATTGCATATAATATTTCTAAATAGCATATGATATTGCATATAATATTTCTGAACTGGATATGATATTGCATATAATATTTCTAAATAGCATATGATATTGCATATAATATTTCTGAACTGGATATGATATTACACATGATATATCTAAATAGCATTTGATATTGCATATGATATTTCTAAATAGCATCTGATATTGCATATGATATTTCTAAATAGCATCTGATATTAGGTATGACATTTCTAAACTGCATATGATATTGCACATGATATTTCTAAACTGCATTTGATAGTGCATATTATATCTCTAAATAGCATCTGATATTTAGCAAGTAAACTTTTGTCTCACACTCAAACGTCTAAAACATTTTTAGCAAGCCCAATGGCTGTTCCTTCGAGAAGAAGAGCGTTTTCTGCAAGTTCCAAAGGCATTAGATCGCCAATGTTTTCTCCGTTTGGTGTTTCAACGGTATGCATAACGTTTTGCTGATATTGACTTAGTTTATTCGGCACCATTGTTTAGTCACTAATTGTTGGACCAAATATTAAACGACGTTCTTTCTTTTGTGGTAAAGACCATTTCAGACAAAATATCAACACAGCTTTACTACCTAACTATTACAAATCTTTCTTTGAAAGATCTTTCTTCTTTTTTTCAGTTTAGCATTGAGATTCGTTGAAAACCATTCTCAATCGTCATTTAATAACTAATTGTTTGATTAAATACAAGCTATCTTCAGTCTTTATAGAAAAAGGGTATTAACGGCGTCTCAACCCCTTTAAGGTGTCCTGTCTTAGCATCCTTGTTACCTCGATGTGCCATCATTTTCGAGAAGCTTCACTACACCTTCGTTCCTCAGTAATTTTTCCATACCATCCATCATCAGTTCATGTAAATAGCGTCTCTCCTAATATCAAAAACTTTTTGCAAAATTATGTTGGATGACGTATTCACAGCAACGTTTTGTTTCCGGGAGAAGCTTTGACTAACTGAATGCGTGCACTAATTTTCAGGAGTGATTTCAGACAGCTAATTTTGATTTATTCTTCAGCCCATCGAAATATTTTGTGTTATCTTTTCTGTACCAAACTAAGATAAGTTGTCTCAAATTTCAGGCCTTTTTACTCTGCAGGTGTACACAAGTTTGTCCTGCAATAGTAATGGGTGATGACATGTCAATATTTGTTGCTTTTACTGAATAAAAACTTTGTAAACAAACCACACCCAAAAGCCTCGAAAAATAAGAATATTTAAACGCTTTGCTTGTGTTTTAGAGCCCTGACCTGGATCAAGGGACGGAGCTCATGCAAGACCCACTTCTGTCTCCTACATTAGCCCAAGCATCACCGTTGGAACGGTATGGTCGATTTAGAGGTAGGACCCAGTAAAGTCTAAGACATGTTAGCGCCCATCTTGCTCAATGTGGTATAACTTTCCTCATGGATATGTTTTTGTATAAACAACAAGAAGAAGTTATTAATTAAAGATTGTTATTAATTAAAGATAGTATGTTCGTCAAAAAAAGTTCACTTCGAATAGGTTTTTTATCAGATTTTCAAAATCTTGTTACAAAACATTTTTCACAAAAAGGTAAGCTGAAGCCTCAAAAATCGACGAGAAATTATACATCAAACGATAAAAGTCAGTGAAATACAAATAGAATAATAAACTAATGAGCGATGTGATCCCGCTATCAAAAACTAGCAGCAGCTATTAAAAGCTGTTTTCAGGATCTCCTGGAATACACGATTTTAAAGTAATATAGTTTCTTTTTCGATTAAATCCATGCTTAATCTCTATATTAATAACAAGGGCGAGATTGGCGAAAATTTTTATAACAAAGTAATTTTTCAGGCGATTTAAAAAGGATCCCGAAACGACATCAATTGGTATTGTTTTTCCTGTGCGGTAACCAGCTAGAATATCATCCACCCCAGCCTTGTCTTTAACAGAGTTCATCGGTAATGAATGCTATTAAATAACACCAGTGTTGCTCTTTTCTATCGCCCTATCACTGTAAAAAAATAAGAACAATAAAGGCCTAGCAGTAGCTCAACAGCAGTGAGAAAAGTATAGTGTTGAGCAATGCTCTTTGAATTTTCACAGAGATGCATGAAATATTAAAACCTAATCATGATATGCACATATGACTTTAAAATGACATACATTGTTTCTAACGGTCATACCCATGAAAAGCATTCGCTAACTTAGCAGTGAAAACCTCTTGATTTTTGCCAATTCTTAAGCCAGACAAATTTTCGAACTCAGGTCGAAATGACAAAAATCCGAAATAAATTAAAATTTGTTTACTAGTGTCAAAAGATAGTATGCATAGTAACGCCATTATTATTAAAACTAATTGATACGGAGTTTTGCGGTATGTCCATTTGCACAGAACAGCAAAGAAAACGATGTGTGTTTCGATGAGCGTCTTATGTTAAAAAAATCATTATTGGAGTTTAGTATTTAACTTTTATATAGCAGGTCAAGATGTCTGTCAAGATGTCAGAAATCTAACTGGACCTTCCTCTTTACCAGAGGTATTGTAGAGCAGATTTTAATCGTTGCATATATTCGTATAGTAAACAATTTGGTAGTGTAGTTGCCCTAACTTTGAATGACTTTAGCTTTGCTGTAGCGTCAACAATGCGGAACAGTTTAATCTCGTTTGGTACTAGCCGTCTAGTTTTACGTCACTGATGCGAAACATTTCTCATGCTGACACTTTACGCATTGTTGAACAGTATCTGAAAGCTGACTTTGTTATAAAACGAAAAGCTATTTTTGAAAAGTGTGTAAGAAGGAAGAAACGTACTACCTGTTGTCTCGAGCGTCCCAGGGCTCCATCCAGTCGACAGCAAAATCTCATTTAACTGCCCGGTTAGCCGCGCCCGCTTTCCTGTTTCCTGATGCAATGAAATATTTCACTTGTTTTCAGTACCTTCAGCTATGGAATATTAACAATCATCTTGTGGTATACCATAGAGGTTCATTTCAAAAACGAATTCCACACTTATCAGTTGAACGAATTCAGTTACCAGTCTCCATTTTTACCCAGTTTTCAATTTGTATCGAAATCTGATTTTATTTTTCAATTCATTGCTGTTTTAGGGCTTTATTGTTGTGGCAGATGAAATCAAGAGAAGCTCCTCTGGTCCAGGTACGATCATCTTTGTGCAACTGCCTGAAAACAGTGCTGTTAGTCAGTCAAATTTAAATGAATTCTCGATCAGATACTACGGTACAAATGCTATATGAGATGCATTCCTTATCTCACATAGATTCATGCGTTGAAAAAGGCCCGTATGTAATGCTTCTCTCTAATTAATGTCAGTTCTTTAAACATCAGCCCTTAACATTGCAACATACTCCAAAGCGTCTATTAAAGCCTGGAAATGTTTTTAGAATCTACCATGCTTCCAAAAGTACATAGAGCCTCCAAGCAGTTTCAGTCAATTCTTGATATACTTTAAATTCACGCTTAAAGGAATAGCCCAGTTGCCCCCTTTCTCCCACGGCAATTTTGGAATCGCATCAAAACCATCCTAGTTTCAAAGTTACAGGTTACGTTCAAATAGTGTATTTCTAAAGAGAATAATCCAGGATTGTTTGAGAGGAAGAGGGTAAACTGCTAATGTGAATGTCAAAAATAGTGTTGGTGTTTCACGACTTTATAGGCATTGTAGCTTTTGAGGAAGCCTATTTTCTATCCGTCGTTTTACGCCTGCTCTTAAATCGCCTTACGCACAAATTCGAGGTAGTGCTTTTTTAAAACATCTCACTTTTTTCGTTTTCGTTCCGTCTCTCCTTTCTTTTGAGAATTTTTGTTGTATGTTTAGTACTTGGATAGGAATTTCTGTCTTTATTTTCAAGGATCTTTTAGTAGCTTAACTATTGTAAAAATTACTGTTAGTTATCTATACGTTGTTTCCCTTATACTACCTGGACATAGATTAACAAATTTCTTGACCTACTTTTAACAGGTATTGTTCCGAGTGGTGCAAGAAAGATTCCTTATTCTCGTGTGAGGTAATTCTTATATAGTTAACTGTTTCCATTTGATAAAAGTTATTTTTCCTGTTGGCACCAACAATTTTGCCGTACAAAGTTAGCAGTTAGGCTGTTAGTGTCCTAAGGCATCGTGTAGCCTGTGTTAATCGAAGATTCAGTTCCTGTTTACATGATAGCGTATTCAAGTAAATAGGTATGTTAAATTCGGCATAGCTTGTCTATCGTCCGGTAGAAAATGCGACTTCTTGACTTGTATACACATAGAAAATCTCCCGCACAGAACCTGGCCTTGCAGAGGAATCGGCCTCTCAACATGTATTTTCGATTCGTTTTGGTAGTCAAGGCTATCCAGTCTAGACTTTTGTCCTACACAGTAAATACATCGATGGTATACACTCGTCTACTTCATTCGCTTCTCTTTCTCCAAAGCGTTCATATTTTCAATTGCCTTCCTTAATGTAGCTCAAGGCCTGAGCTTAAGAAAAATTTCACCTTAAACAGTGTATAGTTTGTATAACCAGGAAATGTTCATTTTGAAACGATGCTTTTGTTTGATGAGTTTAAAGTTATGCGTAGGCATAACGAGAGTTCAAGAACTCCTACCCAAGAGATCATAGGCAAGAAAGCTCGTTTAGGCCTAAAGCTTTCTTGGTGCTGCTTATAGTAGTGTAATATTTTGATCGAAATTGAGCTAGATGAAATTGTTAGAACAAACGTTGATCCAAATCTTCACATCTTTTTCTTTACTTTTTAGTCCTGGAAATCGGACAAAGCCAACAGGAAGCACAAAGCCGTTATTTTCTGTTGGCTCACCATCATCACCTTTTTGCTCACCTAGAAACACGCCGCCTTCGAACTCACCACTTCGCACACCATCTCCAAGAAGCTTATTGGATTTGTCTTCATCACCGAGGTGCAGTCCGTCTGAGCATACTCCTCCGCATCGTGGCTCCCCTTTAACCAACATACAAGAAGTTGAAAATGAAGCGCGTTACGCTACGTCTGAAAATGTCCCGATTAGACGGAGAAACTCATCGAGGAGGAAACTGAGCGGGGTTGATGTTTCACCCGAGTACGCAGCTTTTCGAGATAGAATGACTGACGAGAACCTTTTCAGAAAATTGTCCATACCCCAAAAGACAATACCAAGTGCCTTAAGTAAAACACAATCTAGAGAGAAGCTAGAACAACCAAGTCCACCTGTTGCCCGTCCTTTGGGCAAGGAAATTTCGAAAAGGAAACGAGCGACGAGTGAAACTATGATTCATCAAAAGTCTCTAACTGAGTTGGAGAGTGAAGGAGGCAAGAGTATGCTGTTACCCGACGTCAGAAAATTAAGCACAGAAAATGCAAGTCAAAAAGGTCGCGGCATAAGCAGAGTTCAGTCGTCTCCGGCGTTTTTATCCGAAGTTGTGAAACGGCTTTCTGTTCCACTAAGAACAGATACCGGGGCTGCGACTCAGAGTTTTTCAGATTTCCTGCGGCAAATAGCAACTGAAGGTCTGGGATCGGCACCGTTAGCCAAGCTCTCGTCGCCGATATTTAAAATAGCCGATCATGTAGATTCACCTCAGTCAGACTTCAGCGGCTCGACCCCGCCTACTTTTTTGCAGATTTCGCCCAGCAGCTGGTCTGAGCTCGCCGAACTTGCAGTTGCAAGGGAAAGAAGGATTTCACTATCTAAGCGATCGGTTTCGCGGACACCATCAGATGCAAGTGAACGGAGCGAGAGGCGAATTAGTGAACAAAGCACAGATGCCCCCAAGCACTCTCAGCCACATGTGATCACGTGCAAAGGTTCGAAGGCTACTGTTGGCTTTATAGAAAGCCCCAAAGCGGGCGATATCATTAAAAAGCTTTCATTAGACCCTTCTTCGCCATTCGGGATCGATACCCACATAGGCCCTGTGATGCTAGAGGCCCCGGATCTTCCGGAAGAAACCTTAATGCCAAATGAACATTTGAAAATTATGGAAATAATAGAAAGGACAGCATGTTACGCTGATTGCATCATAGGAATTTCTGAACAAGCTGAGAATTTTTGGTCAGAGACGTACGATCTATTAATCAAACACACGAAAACGTCCAGAAAGAGAGGATTAGAATCCATATTACCTTCTGAGGAACTAAGGCAAATGCAACAAGTTGCGCTACTTTCCGAAGCAGTAAGGATATTTTTGAATCTACTCGGATTTGCTCAAAGCGAAGTTGCCGCTGATAATTTGAGACCAACAAAAGCAATGAAAAGTGGTAGGTTTCTCGTGCTGTTTTTTTTAAATGCAAGTATACAAAAATAGGGTTGAAGGAAGTCTGGCTGAGCAACCAATCGTATCATTAGTTAGTTGATGGTTGAAATAACTTGGTATAAAAGTGATTAATCTTTTATTCTCTTTGCAGCTTTATTATCTGTGAAAGAGAAAACGACAGCTTGTTGCAGGAGGCTTTCTTTGCTGAAGAAAAACATAGGGAGACCATCCAAAGACTGGAAAGGCGTGGCTGTAAGTTACTTACCATGGGCTCCGACACAGGTCGAAAAGTGGTGGGGGGGGGGTCATCGTAGGCCCTGCTTTGTGATTTCATCGTTTGTGACATTTAACCGTTTTTAAAAGGCTTATTATAATGTGATTTATCCATTCTATCGTACTTTATATGGAGATGCAGCTTAATTGAAATCATAATCAGCATCATCCTACAAACTTGCCTTTGATTATCTTTCACTAGGCTGTTTCACCCTTAGGCCTGCATTGATTCTTTGTTTCTTTAACATAGCCTGCTAAGTGTTGCTTGCTTGGCTGTCTGTTGGTTATGAACTCATTGTACTTCATGCAAAGCCTCGAGTTATCATGCTACTTTGTCATTTCAAGAAACACATTGATTTAGTCACGTGCCAAGGGTGTAATGCCGCATGCAAAGGGTCCTGCCTCGTACTAATATGATGCCAAGCAGAAGGCTTTCCTCATAAGAACAGCAACAGAAAATAAATGCTACTTAACTTGCATCACTTAACTTGCATCACGCTTTTTCTTTTAGTCAAATGCCAAATTACTGATCTACTTGCATGCAATGGTTTTGGTAAGTCATTTTGTATCTTCGATATTCAGATCTTTGCTTCAGTTCATCAACTATTGTTATAAGACTTGTCGGTGACGAAATTTGTATTTTGCCAAGAAAGGAGAAACAATTGACCATATGGTCGATGAAATGCTATCTTGTCATTAACTACACAATCCCTCTGTAGCTATCTTTCCATATAAATTTTTTCTCTTAAAATATCATTGGTTTATTTTATCATTAGTAAAATTTTGATTGAATCAGTTATCTGAAGTCAGTTTAACGATTTTTTGTCAGTTCAAACCAAAATTATTAACCATGTTTATCTGTCCATTCACCTTTTTTTATCATCAATCAAAACCTGAGAAAAAAACAACTTACTTTATTTGCACCATGTAGTGGGGAAGGACATGTAGTCATCCGATCCCAACTCCAGATGGTGCTTACAATTCAACAGAATTACAATAGTCAATAATGAGTTTGTCTCACATTAGATGTCGGAAGACATCGGTCATAAAGGTAAGTTCTGATCTGTCATTAGACAGTTCGGAATGCCCAAAAGTTCAGAATGCCCAAAAACGTTGAAAAAATTTCCAGATGCTAATTGGAATGAAATTTCCAGAATGTCTAATGTGTGAATGAATATCTAATGTGTGACAAACTTACTCAAAATTAATGATAAGATAAAAAAATACAGTAAATAAGATGGGTAAGGCGCTGCTGGTAGTTTTATTCAGTGTACTCTAGCCTTCCAGTTGACACAATGATATTGTTGCCTCCAAAATCAACTTGTTCGCAATATTGTTGAACCGTGGATTACCAACAAGGAGTAGTTCACATAGGGCCTCAGAGTTGAGATTATCAACCTCAAGTCCTGGGATTTCTGAAAGCTGATCAAAGAGATCGTTACACATCTCGTCATACATGGGGCAATGCAGGAGAAAATGCTCATTGTCCTCAATGCCTGTATTGCACGTGCAGATGGGACTCAAAGATCTCAAAGTTGTGCCGAAACTTTTGCTCGCTCAGGGGACTGAATCTAACCCGGAGCATAGTTAAGCATCTTGATCCAGCTATGTTTTTTTTCGCCAGAACAAAAGACATTGCTGTTTATGTGCTCTGTATTTCAACCTTGGAAATTTATTATCTGAATCTCATATCTTTTTAGAGTTTCTGAACTAGTTTCCCGTGTTCAACTGTTTAGAATGCTACATAGATACAGAGTGTCATGTGATTGTCATTAATGTGTGTCATGTGACTCTACTTGATCAGGCGTCTACCAAAATATATTTCCCATGTGTGGTAGAATATAGCCTAAGCTATGCCTTTAAATAAAATCTTCTCTGTTATCAGTGTCGCAATGCTGCATCCGATGAACTTCTCCAAAAACCTTTCAATCAAGTGAGTCTTTTTCATTTTCTTTTGAGTAAGAATGAACATTTTTCTCCAATTTTTTATCCTAATTTTGCTTGAAGTTTAAATGTTGATCTTCTGGTGCACAACACAGTTTTGTGGCATGCATTTAGATTAATGAATGAGTTTAAGACTGATTGAACTGATTGGTTTAAGGCGGTATTGTTTCAAAACAAAGGACTGATAGTTTCGTCTCCCGAACAATATTATTCTGTCATCGTATGCTTGGGACAGGGTATGTTTTTTGAAGCAATACTGATCTCTTAGTGTATTTATCTGCATCGGAGACTTACCCAACTTACTCTATAAATTATAATTAATTAATCAGTGCAGTTTTAATCATTTTGATATTTTTTAAAATTCAGCCGGATGAAAAATATAAAGTTGCCCGATATTTACTCGAGGGATTGTTATCTGAAGCGGAAACTGAATGTGACAGAGTCACTGTCACAAAGTGTATCCTTTCAACACAAAACTGAATTGCTGCGTACAACTTATAATATTCTTCCAATTTCTACTGCTTTATACATCAAGTCTTTTTGTCAGAGATCTTTTCCCCCAGTTCATCTATTGAGGGTTTATGTCTTTCTATTTAGTTTATCTTCTGCTCATCGTAAGCAACTTTTAAGTCACCCTGTTCTTCCAAATTGACAGAAAATGGATGGCTCGTTTTGACATCGGATGAGCCTAATTTTTGCTCTTTTCTAATTTTATTCTTTAAATGGCCTGTTTACTATTGTAAAGATTTCGACTACCAATTCTATATACATAATTGTTTATTCAGTCACAATCTTGGCTGTATACTGTCGATCAATCATTTAGAACTTGGTTGACAACACAATACTTCTTTGTTTAAACAAATCCCATCTTTTTGGAACCCGTCTCAGCTTGAAAACGAAGCAGTGCGCCCCCAAAGCTCCCTATTTGCAGGTTTCAGAATTGTAGAAATGGTTGCATTTTATCCTTAATCGCCATAACAGATCTGTCTGCGATTGAGCAAAGGCTTGGGTTGCAGAGATTATGATGCTTGCCAAAATGTTTGCTATCAGATACCACTAAAGCGAGAAAAATTAATCTCCTTTGATCTGCTATCAAAGAAGATTTATAAATATTGTCCTTATGTATGTTCTAGTTATTGCTTAATTAGATGTCAAATAAAAAAGAAGATTTTCATAGAAAAAGCCGAACTTTATCAACCTTTCTGCCCTTAACAGCAAATTTTATTTTTTGTAAATTCCATAAACTATATCTAGTGTCTTTTCCAAAAGGTTGGGCACATATCCAACCAATAACTGAAAATGTAATCTCTTTTGTATACTCATTAATTTATTTGAAGACAACTTTCAAAGGCTCTTGCGCAACCGGCATGCTTTGCGATTATATTTTCAAAACCGGCCTAATATCGTACTGCATGAAAATACAAATCGCAATCAATTTTTCAAGACAGCTGTCGCTAAGCATGCCGGTCGCGTCAGAGCCTTTAATGTGCCCATTTGAATGCTGTCTATTATTTTTAATTTTGATAAGCTTTTTTATTGTTTCTCTATCGACATAGCTTAAAGAAGTTCCTAGAACGTCCTTAATGCTAATATGCTCTTGAAATATCCTTAGATCTATCACAAATGTACAACTCAGAAAGACCCATTTTACAAACATTCTAGAAACGATAACATTATCTTAATGCTTTAACATTCTGATGTAACTGTTATCCGTATAAGACAAGTCATAACAACATGCCATATACAGTATTGTTCAATAACCTATATGAATCGATGTATTTTTTTGTTTTCATTTTATTTACGCGTTGGTTTGTACGCGTTTATTTTTGCTTCTAAGAGAGTAAAGTTTAGAATGGAGTTAGGCACTAAATAAGAACGAAAAAAAATTCTTTGAAGAGAAGAATAAGGGTAAATTTTTTAAGCATTTTGTTATATCCAGCTTTTAGTAGCAAGGAAACTGCATAATCTTTAGAAGGTATCACTTATGCATTGGATGGCATAGAAATATGTCATATAACAGAGCGATTATAAGAGAGTTAACTAGCCCTCAGCTCTTTTTACGTTTGATTTATTGTGTAAAACATTGTGTATAGTCCATCTTTGCGCGCTTGTATTTTAGTTTTGTTAGACTAGTTTTCAACAGTTTTAGCTGTAAGTTACTTGTAGTTGGTTGGTGTAGATTTTGAAATAGAATTGTAGTAGGAAATGCGTTTTTCAAACCAATATGTAAGCATTTTTATAGTAAATAGAACGGGTTTCATGTATGTCTCATTGAGATTATATGCTTGAAAGATCGTGAAACGATTGTTGCACAAAGAAATGCCATACAGAGTTTATAAACATTACCAATTAGAGGCAGCATCGTCGATCCAATTAGAGGCTGCATCCCGATGGAGGCTAAGGCTGATTGCAAAATTGGGCCTAAATGCGTTGAATAACTTCGTTTCAGAAGTGCTTGTGCTTTAAGCCTTGGTGAATGCCACCATGGTGTTCTGGAGACGACAAGCTTTTCTGTTAAGTATAAACTAGCCCAGTGTATAACAAAATCGATATAAGCGCTTGACCTGGAGACATTTATCATGTGTATATGTAAAAATATTAACAAGGCTACTGTTTGTAAGTTTTTGGATTGTAAGCAATGTTCATTTATGCTAGATTTGAATTCGTTTGCTCGATATACTGCAAGTGTTATTGATCATGCGTTGCTACAGAATGCCCGATGTCAATTCTTTCAGACTTCTTCTTGTTTATTCGAAGCATGAATTTGAGTAACTTTCACAGGCAGCTCCTTGGGCCTAAGTTACTCATCAATGTTTTCAACAATTAGGTTTTGTCATTTTCCTTCCGAGCGAATCCAACAGAAAATGCTGTATCAATTTTAGATCCGGCTGTAAACCTGTAATCCTAAGAAAGGTTGCTCATTTTGTTTTCAAGAGAGACAAAACCCTGTTTCAAGTATTTTATTATTCGAGAGAGAATGCACCGCTAAAGCCTCTTGCGAAACTAGCTCAATGGGGCCACCTTTAAGACACCAGGGAAAATTATGAAGTGCCCCGATAATTCAAACAATTGAATAGTAACTCTGTCCCTACCGCAGTTCATGGCGTAACATCATGTAACGTTTATTTCTATAAACTAATCAAATGAATAAATAGAGGTCTTTGTTATTGATCTAGATCTTCCATAAGAAGATTTCAGTTGTTTAAGCATATAAGAAGAAAATTCACAAACAAAGCATACTCGTGGTTTTCATATAAAAGTGAATGGATGACCAAATTCATGCAAAAATTTCAACAGCAGTGTCTAGTTTTTAGTACCCAGCGGGTTCGCCTCCCTTTCTAAAGTCCGACTCGGCATATAGATCAGAGCATTTCGATATGTCTTCTTTTCTATACGAACAGTGCTGCCAGTCACCGGAAACACGAGCTATGGCTTGTACAACTGCGTGGTTGACGTCATCCTTCACGACCTGCAAGAGATGCAATGGACTGTATTAGATCGCATTGATTTTGATGAACTATCAACTACAATAGTCTACAATACAAGACAAGATTCTGGCTTAAGTTCCACTTTTTCAGGTTTTTCTGTGTCGCAAGGGTATCGTTTAGGTACCTTATGGTGAAATTGAAAATATTTTGAGGCATGCTACCTTGCACCTTGGACCAAAGTTTGTTTATTTGTGGAAGATTCTGGTTAAAAAGATGTAATAATAAAGATCCTTGGGAAGTTAGAATGTTTTGCAGACGGTCTTTATGTTCTTGCTGGACAGCTTTTAATGCTTCTTTCGTCTTCCTATATATATCATATAATAAACAACCATTATCATCATGATGTCACCCCAGCAATACATGAAATAATCTTGCATTATGCAGGATAAACACAAGCCAAACAGATGTGGAAAACTATCTACCTTGTGTTTGTACATTTGCAAAATTGACACAGTTTCATTGGGGAAACGGGTCTCGACGAATACTTTGTCTGGAATCAGCTGGCTGTGAATACGAGGAGCTTGGACTGCGTCTTTCAACGACATATCAAACCAAAGGTGGTTCATTATGACCTGAAACAAGTACGTCATCAATCAACTAAGTACCTCAGTTCTTCTTATCGTGTTTACTGCAAACCAGAGACTATGTTTCTTATCCTTTATATACAAGTAATGTTTCTATTCATTCATGTAGCACTCAATAACAAAAAGAGTAAAGGAAAGTCTTTCAGTCAGGGGCGAATTTAAGCACCTTTACCTGAAGAAACACTGTGTAATAATACAGGTTTTATGCGGTTTTTCCACTGTACTTCTTCTTTTTGTGTTTTTCATTTCTTTTTCATTAATATAGATAAATGTCATACAATTCAAAAAGATATGTGCCTCTAAAGATCGTACGTTTTTTGCAGTGAATCGAATTGATCAAGGCGAGAGAGAGCTCGTTGGATATGACAGTTAGAAAACGATAATTGCTAGAACTTAAAGTGAGTTTGTAATTGTTTGCAAAAACATTATTGAAACGATTGCAACAATTACATTCGAAAATAAGGGCTACAAAAGTGATGTAATAATGGGACAACTTCCCTTCCTTGGATGTATCCTTTAATTCCCTCCCTTACTTTTCCATAATTTTTAACAAAGACAAGCCTTCTTTTTGCAGCGTATGCTAGTCTTACCTGTGCTACGGCAGTTGTGATTATCGAGCCCCCTGAGCCACCAGCAACCATTCGTACATTCTTGTGTTCATCCAAAATTATGACGGGGACACCACTCGATAACGGCCTTTTTCCTGGCTTCATGAAGTTAACTGGCGCTGGTGGCAGTCCGAATTCGTTTGGCATTCCAGGGGCGCTGAAATCATCCATTTCGTTGTTGTAGATAAAACCAAGGGCACATGATCGGAACTTTGCTCCCAAGCTGGCGACAAAAGCAAAAAACACAATAGGATGGGAATGTGCGGGTGAGTCTCTCTTACATTTAAACACTTTTGCAATCTGTGAACGTAATTATTCTTATTCAAGAAATTCTTATCCTTACCGGTGGATTTTTTACAACAACTCCTAGTTTTTTCTTCCAAAACAGTTCCCATGCTCTTAAAATCTTCTACAACAACTCTTTTGAGTTCCAGCTCGCTATTAAACCCCCTCTCAATCAGCACCCCTTCGAAGCAGAAACTTAAAAAACCAATTTTTCAATTGTACCCATCTCTTTGAAGCCCCCTGTTAGTCCTCAAGAGTCAAATAAGCACTTAATGGAGCTTCTAAGATATATGGGCTGTGATAAAACTTGACTGCCTACAGAAAACAACTGAAGGGCTTGGGTTTGGTTATACCCTAATCGAGCTGACAGCTTGACAACATTGCGAGTTTGCCTAATTGTTTTCTCGCATCTTTTCTTAAGAAGTAATCGTTTCGTTCTGGTTTTGCATTTTGAATGTACGGCGTGTCAACAGTTGACATTAGGAAAATAAGTATGATCTAAAAAATTGACTATCATAAATAGATGGTAGCAAAAATTTTATAATCCTGAAAGGAAAAATGTAAAAGGACAAGACTAAACTAATTATCTGCCGGGCAGCTTTTGAAAGGTGCATCTTAAAAAAAGGGGGCCATTACTCACTAGCCATTGACTGTATCCATTACGGTCACTGCATCGCCGTTTCTGTCTATTACCACCAAATGTGTTGTGCCTGTTTTGACTGGCAGGTCGTATTTGCCGCCATAATGCTCTGTTGGGAAAGTCTTTAAATCAGATATCGAATCCATGATCTTCTTTGCAGTTTTCTCGCTCACCATATCCTGGACGACCTTTTTGACACTCTTTTCAATATCAGGGTCTGCAAGCAATGTTCTTCTTGCATAAGCATATTTGAAAGCTTCGATTATACGATGATAAACAAGTGCCGGAGTTTCCTTCAAATCTGCTTCGTCCATATCGAAACCTATGAATGCGAGAAATGCTTCCCCGTAATATTGCAAGAATAGAATGTAAAATTGGAAAGAATCAGCCTGAAATTACCTTGCATATTTGAACTGTGGGGTAAAAATGTTTGCTTTAGATTGTCATCTTCACTTTTATGTTCGATATAGCTGCTTTTTTGTTTTCTTTTGGACAATTATTTTTTATTTCTCCCACCTGCTAACATTCTTCTTCCTACAGTCCTGGACAAATGCTACGCTAGATTACTCAATCCCCCTCATCCCCCAGACTTATTGTTGATAAACTGACTTTCGTAACAAGAATCGAGAAACCGAGGGGGGTCGGGAGAGCCTTGGCCCCCAAGAAACTTGAGAGTAGTATAAGTAAAATACTTTTATTTTCTAAAAAATGGCTGTTTTTACAATTATTTATCAGGGATGGCCCCCCAAAACAAAAGTTGTATCTCGTTCTTTGTTTCGAAATATGCATGCGCCATATGTCAAGCTTCTCGTCTAAAAAGCTGTCTAGACTGCTTGATACTTCTGTACTTAGAATGCTCGATAGTAATAGTGCTATGTTTTTAGAATAGAACCTAAAATTTACACATCAATATTTTCCATTTTCAGCTAGAGGGCTTTCCCTCCAGTAGTCATAGTTAAAAAAACAGATAATCAAGCTTCCAAGCAGTTTTACTTTGGGCAGCTTGCTTGCCCCCTCCCCCTCTCCCTATCCTAGTTTGTAATACACTAGATTTCAAAATTCTTTTGATCAAAAGGAAATTTGTCTCGTAGGTCAGTAAAGAAAGCTAACAAGTAATGAAACCATAATACTTTATTACCTTTCAAAATGTTTAGTATAAATGCCAGAACAGGACCACTTGCAGGCGGTGGAGTATTCATCAATGTATACGATCCTAATCTGGTGACAATTGGTTTCCGTAAAATAGCTCTGTAGTCCTTCAAGTCGTCAATTGTTAGTATTCCTCCGTGAGCGTTTACCTCTTCTTCCATGATTTCTGCTATCTGCCCTTTGTAGAATGGATCGGAGCCATTTGCATTAGCAATAATTCTCAGCGTTTCAGCCAGCTCTGGATTACGGATCATGTCACCCGTCTTGAGAATAGTTCCATTTGGTGCGTATAGATTCCTTGAAAAAAGAAGCTATCTAAAACCACTTTGTTCAAACAATAGAGAAAAGGCACTCGTTGCGTCAAAGAGGCTCCTAAGCAAAAGCTTATTTAAAAAACAATTTTTGCTGTTCTCTCGTTTAAGCCAAAAGTACGAAATGAGCACTTGAATCACAGGAGCTGCAATCAGTGACCTTGCATAGGAGGAGAAGGGTGGAAAATATTCCCACATAAAAAACCTATAAAAAACGTTTTCATCACCAAAAAATTTCTAGAAAATAAAAGTCGTAATTCCTTACTTTATCAAAACATGGTCGTACTACAATCAACACGTAGGCAAAGAAAAGAGGGTATGTATGCAAAAACTGTCTTATAAACAAAATGAAAGAAATGCGCACGCTCGAGCAGCAGATAATCTGAAACTGGGTTCTACCTGGAAATAGACAGCCAGCTCCTTCATCGTGCACAGATCAGGCAGTAATACATTTACAGAAACACATAACGACGTATTCAATACCTCATACACTTTTCATTCAATACATCTTGATCCCATTTGTTGATAGCAATACTGAGTGTTTCAGGCACCTCGAATCCATGCTTTGCTAATCGTATGGCAGGTTTGAAAAGCCTTTTCCATGGAAGTTTCCCATACTTTTTGTGAGCCAGCTCAATACCTCGGAGTTCTCCAGGCACTGCTACACTTAACCCTCCTGAAAAGTTATCTCTCTTTTATATGATATTCATATTCTAATGAGAAACGAGGAAGTGAAGCACGTTGTTGAAAAGGGGTTTGGAACGAGCGCTTTGACAGCCATGTGATTAGTTAGAAAGTCAGAGTCCGTAGAGTTGTAAGTTTAGAGTAGCAATTTGAAATCAGCTTCGAGACCAGCGTTGAAGTTTAAGTTGGTGAAATAAGTTGAGGAGATAGTGTCGAAATTGGGTGAGATGTGATCAGTGAGATTTTTCTAAAGGATAACTGTTATTGTTTCTTGGTTATAAAAGCTATTTAGTGCAGGATGCTCTATCTTGTTATGTTATCCAAATAAAAAATTTCTCAAAATATATTTTTGCAACATCATAACTAAACACTGTTGCTTAAAATCTAATGCTTTGCTGATTCATCACAAAGCTAAAGGCACTTTTTCTACTTATAGAGATACAATCTACAGGTAAACAGACACATGGAGAGATCAACTCACCTCTAATTCCTTTTGTTGCATCGCCATGAAACAAATTAGGATGAGCACCCTTCGGTGCTGCCTCCCTAAAATCGATAACCTCGCCCTTTTCTTTATCTCTGTTGTATACCATCATGAATCCTCCACCACCGATTCCGGTAGAGTGACTGTTAATTACACCTGTAAAATTAGGACAAAAAATACTTTTACTGAAAGATCCTTGAAATGAAAGATCATTTTATAAGTCATACATAAGTTTGTAAAGCGAAATTTTTTCAGATTTTCTTTTTGTCAACTTGTTGCCCTTTGTTTCTTCATATGATAGAGCTGTGTTTGAAGAAGACTGGTGCGGAGTATTGCCCTACTTTTAACACGAAATCAAATAACTGCGGTAGAAAATTTCATTTGAAAGAGTCTTTTGGTTAAATTTAATTTGAAAGTTATCTTCCTTTCAACTGATATTCCACGATAATTTTCATCGAAAATATTTTCAAAATAATAGTTTCATTTAACTTCGAAGAAATGGACCAACATTAGAATACCTAAACATAACATCGTTGCTATGGCAGCATCGACAGCAGATCCGCCATCTTTCAAAGCTTTGCTTCCGACCTTACTGCACTCGGCATTGTCAGCAGCAACAGCAGCATGCTTGAAAATAACATCTCTCTCGTGAAGTTTATTGTTTACTGGCCTGTTGAAAATAAGAAATTGCAAAGGACATACAGATAGTTATGGTTTTGAGATCACCGTGAGGAGCTCTGCAATATTACACAACCTTTAAAAACACAGTCTTATTTCCCTGGGTTTTTCAGTTCAATTTAATTTTTCGCATTGATAAAGTTTAATGATTGTCAGGAACTAAATCCAGTTCCTATTTTACGGGAAACAGTTGCCTTTAAATCAAGATAGACCAAGAAATCAGACGAAAAATACAAGGAAATCTAATAAAAACCCACTCCGTGAAAACTTGTTATTTGTAAATCATTCTTTCTTTGTTTAAAACATCGACGAGAGATGATTGGATGCTAAATGGGTTTAGAATTATATCTTTACGCAATAATTTGCACGGAAGGGCGCATGTGCTGCGGAGGACCCACAAGGTATCTTTAGATAAGTGACGGCATGGTTACAGACATTAAATATCATATGTGTTTAGATCATTTCAACCGCAGAACGTATGTTCAAAAATCTAAGCTTGTTAGAAGTAAACAAAGTTGCGGCCAAAAAGCAAAGGTCGAAAGACACATTCGGCAGCCTTAACCGTGCGGTTTTCGAAAACCCACGAATGTAGCAAGTGCCTTCTTACTATCTTATCTTTTCTCAAGCAACATACTTTTTTCCCACGACATTACGACAAAAAGGTTCGAGCTAGCTCGGCCAACCATATTGGTAACGTTTCCCCCAGTATAAGGCGCCCCAGTATACGGTCCAGCCCCAGTATAGGGATTGTCAATCAAGATTATGTTCTTAAGTGCCGCCAAAGCCGTTTCGGTTCGTTATCGTCGCGATGATAGATAGAAGTTATTTCAAGTCACAGCGGCTTCTCGGCCAGTAGACATTCAGCCATACACTTTCAGCAAGCGGCCATGTTGTAACAGCCGTACTTGAAAGACATTCGCGTAGCTCACCTTTAAAATATTATACCTTTAAAACTCATACAAAATATAAGTTTAGTTGTTTAAGTTTCGTTTTATTTTGCTCGTACCAAGTTTTGGTGCGACTATCGAGCCGAGTAACGTGGGAGCCTTTAGCAAGAATATAGGGCTCGCTCGTTCAGCTGACAACTACGGGGGTCAAATTGTTTCTAAGATACAGTTTTGAAAAAATCTTGACTGAAACTGTTTCGCCGGCCAATTGAAATCGGTGCACTTGCGTTTAGACTTTATTTGTTTTATTGTTTTGTGGGGTTCCTGGTGTCTAATGTTGCTTGCCTTGTTTATATGAAGAGCATTGACTGGGGATTTTTATGAACCAGAAGTTAGAAGAAAGAGGGTTTCGCTATGTTCACAAGGTTGCAAATCAACCTTTTGATTATATGCAGCATTCTGAAAATCAAGTTCACATGTCACATTGCGTTTTTTGCTTGTTCAAAAATTATCTTCCCCAAGAACTACACCTCGGTTGTGGGAGACACGCGCGGGGCCTTCACCCCCGGGTCAGACATAGAGAATTCTCAGAGTAGCGCGGACCTCTGTGCACTTTTGCATAAATTTTGCCTCTTGTATGACCGATTATACCTTTAAAACTCATACAAAATATAAGTTTAGCTGTTTAAGTTTCGTTTTATTTTGTTCGTACCAAGTTTTGGTGCGGCTATCGAGCCGAGTAACGTGGGAGCCTTTAGCAAGAATATAGGGCTCGCTCGTTCAGCTGACAACTACGGGGGTCAAATTGTTTCTAGGATACAGTTTTGAAAAAATCTTGACTGAAACTGTTTCGCCGGCCAATTGAAATCGGTGCACTTGCGTTTAAATTTTATTTGTTTTATTGTTTTGTGGGGTTCCTGGTGTTTAATGTTGCTTGCCTTGTTTATATGACGAGCATTGACTGGGGATTTTTATGAACTAGAAGTTAGAAGAAAGAGGGTTTCGCTATGTTCTCAAGGTTGCAAATCAACCTTTTGATTATATGCAGCATTCTGAAAATCAAATCCACATGTCACATTGCGTTATTTGCTTGTTCAAAAATTATCTTCCCCAAGAACTACACCTCGGTTGTGGGAGAACTTCACCCCCGGGTCAGACATAGAAGATTCTCAGAGTAGCGCGGACCTCTGTACACTTTTGCATAAATTTTGCCTCTTGTATGACCGATTATACCTTTAAAACTCATACAAAATATAAGTTTAGCTGTTTAAGTTTCGTTTTATTTTGTTCGTACCAAGTTTTGGTGCCACTATCGAGCCGAGTAACGTGGGAGCCTTTAGCAAGAATATAGGGCTCGCTCGTTCAGCTGACAACTACGGGGGTCAAATTGTTTCTAAGATACAGTTTTGAAAAAATCTTGACTGAAACTGTTTCGCCGGCCAATTGAAATCGGTGCACTTGCGTTTAAACTTTATTTGTTTTATTGTTTTGTGGGGTTCCTGGTGTTTAATGTTGCTTGCCTTGTTTATATGACGAGCATTGACTGGGGATTTTTATGAACTAGAAGTTAGAAGAAAGAGGGTTTCGCTATGTTCTCAAGGTTGCAAATCAACCTTTTGATTATATGCAGCATTCTGAAAATCAAGTCCACATGTCACATTGCGTTTTTTGCTTGTTCAAAAATTATCTTCCCCAAGAACTACACCTCGGTTGTGGGAGACACGCGCGGGGCCTTCACCCCCGGGTCAGACATAGAGAATTCTCAGAGTAGCGCGGACCTCTGTACACTTTTGCATAAATTTTGCCTCTTGTATGACCGATTATGCCTTTAAAACTCATACAAAATATAAGTTTAGCTGTTTAAGTTTCGTTTTATTTTGCTCGTACCAAGTTTTGGTGCGACTATCGAGCCGAGTAACGTGGGAGCCTTTAGCAAGAATATAGGGCTCGCTCGTTCAGCTGACAACTACGGGGGTCAAATTGTTTCTAAGATACAGTTTTGAAAAAATCTTGACTGAAACTGTTTCGCCGGCCAATTGAAATCGGTGCACTTGCGTTTAGACTTTATTTGTTTTATTGTTTTGTGGGGTTCCTGGTGTTTAATGTTGCTTGCCTTGTTTATATGACGAGCATTGACTGGGGATTTTTATGAACTAGAAGTTAGAAGAAAGAGGGTTTCGCTATGTTCTCAAGGTTGCAAATCAACCTTTTGATTATATGCAGCATTCTGAAAATCAAGTCCACATGTCACATTGCCTTTTTTGCTTGTTCAAAAATTATCTTCCCCAAGAACTACACCTCGGTTGTGGGAGACACGCGCGGGGCCTTCACCCCCGGGTCAGATCAGACATAGAGGATTCTCAGAGTAGCGCGGACCTCTGTACACTTTTGCATAAATTTTGCCTCTTGTATGACCGATTATACCTTTAAAACTCATACAAAATATAAGTTTAGCTGGTTTAAAGT